CTTTGACGCTCAGCCTTTCTTGTGGTCCAACTTTCACAACCGTACATTGCAACTGGGAAAACCATGGCCTTGACTATACGCACTTTTGTTGGCAGGGTGATGTCTCTGCTTTTTAGTATGCTGTCTTGGTGTACTGTAATATAATTCAATTTCTCTAAATTTCGAAGGGTATTATCAGACTACCAGAGTCGGAAGGGACCTTGGAGGTCTTCTAGTCCAGCCCCCTGCTGAAGCAGGAGACCCTATCCAATCCCTTGCATAAGCAGGAGATCCTGTATCATTCTGGACAAATGTCTTTTCCTTTCTCTTTCTTTTTCCTTTTTCTTTCCTTTCCGTTTCTTTCATCTATCTATCTATCTATCTATCTATCTATCTATCTATCTATCTATCTATCTATCTATCTATCTACTTTAGAGCTCTTTCTGAAGGGCTATTAAAAATTTCCATATGAGCTGAGACTGTGCCTGTGAACAAACGGCCACTGAAATTATAGCTCATATCCTGTCTCTTCCCCTTTCTATAGGGACTCATGGGCTCAGCTTATAACCGCTTACCTGATTAAATATCTTGGATACTCTGATCTCTTTTATGTAAACTACTATTGTCGGATGGATGTGATTCAGTTTCTCTAAACCTAACTAAGTTGTGTTACACTAAAATCAGACACGCCCCGGTCACTCCATTAAAGATTTCACCACCAACTGTAATATATTACTATATCTCGTTCTGTTCTCTTTTGCTTTAAGGCAGTGGTTCTCAACCTGTGGGTCGGGACCCCATTTGGGGCCGAACGACCATTTCACGGGGGTCGCCAGACAAGGCTGTCCGCCATTTTTTCCCCCTTTTCTTTGGCCACGCCCCTGGCACCCGGTGATGTATAAGTGGTTGGGGGTCACCACAGCATGGGGAACTGTATTATGGGGTCGTGGCATTAGAAAGGTTGAGAACCACTGCTTTAAGGTTTAATTTTTTTGTGTGTGGGTTTGCAACTGTAAGAAAGACTGAATTCAATTTGATTTCTGCAAGGTGGGGTGACAGTTCTCCCTAATTACAAACCTAATTACAAAATGATGGTGAAGCAATGCCAGGCTACTGAGAAATAAGAGGACACTTCACAACTATGCAGAAGTCCATAGCAATACCAAATCTTGCTTTAAACATCTAATCATCCAGAATAATAGAGCCAAATTGGGACTAAGCATATTCAAGGAGATCTCAGCAGTGAAAGACTACTATAGGTTAATTAGAATAAAAACAATGGAGAAGATAAAGAGCCCCATCCATCTTCAAGCTATTGCCATACCTTAAAAGATGATATAGCTGCCTGGAAACTTAAAAAGAATTTGGTTACAATTCAACTCTGTGGTAACACCACTGGAAGACTTTGAGAAGATGTTGTAAAACTAATGCAACTATTGCCATTCTTTGATTATGAGCCATCAAGTCATTTTCTGCTCCTGTTGTAGATCTTGTAGATGTCTTCTGTTGTTTTTGTTTGTTTGTTTGTTTGGGCTACCGGATCTTGTGATTTACTTGAGATGTTTTGGAAGACTTTAGTTGGTTTGTGTATTACCTCCAGTTTTTGTCACCACGATGTTAAAAAAGATGTTGAAACTGTAGAAAGAGTACAGAGAAGAGCAACGAAGATGATTAGAGGACTGGAGGCTAAAACATACAAGGAACGGTTGCTGGAATTGGGTATGTCTAGTTTAATGAAGAGAAGGACGAGGGGGGACATGATAGCAGCATTCCAGTATCTCAAGGGCTGCCCCAAAGAAGAGGGAGTCAAGCTATTCTCCAAAGTGCCTGAAGGCAGGACAAGAAGCAACGGATGGAAGCTAACCAAGGAGAGAAGCAACCTAGAACTAAGGAGAAACTTCCTGACAGTTAGAACAATTAATCAGTGGAACAACTTGCCTCCAGAAGCGGTAGATGCTCCAACACTGGAAGTTTTTAAGAAGAGACTTGTTGTTGTTGTTAATTGTGAAGTCGTGTCCGACCCATCACGACCCCATGGACAATGTTCCTCCAGGTCTTCCTGTCCTCTACCATCTTCTGGAGTCCATTTAAGTTCACATCTACTGCTTCAGTGACTCCATCCAGCCATCTCATTCTCTGTCGTCCTGTTCTTCTATTGCCCTCAATCTTTCCCAGCATTAGGCCCTTCTCCAGTGAGTCCTTCCTTCTCATTAAGTGGCCAAAGTATTTGAGTTTCAACTTCAGGATCTGGCCTTCTAAAGAGCAGTCGGGGTTGATCTCTTCTAGGACTGACCGGTTTGAATGCTTTGCAGTCCAAGGGACTCGCAGGAGTCTTCTCCAGCACCATAGTTCAAAGGCCTCAATTCTTTGGCGCTCAGCCTTTCTTATGGTCCAACTTTCACAGCCATACATTGCAACTGGGAAAACCATGGCCTGGACTATACGCACTTTTGTTGGCAGGGTGATGTCTCTGCTTTTTAGAATGCTGTCTAGATTTGCCATAGCTTTCCTCCCCAGGAGCAAGCGTCTTTTAATTTCTTGGCTGCAGTCCCCATCTGAGGTGATCTTGGAGCCCAGAAAAATAAAATCTGTCACTACCCCCATTTCTTCCCCATCTATTTGCCAGGAATTGAGAGGGCCGGATGCCATGATTTTGGTTTTCTTAATGTTGAGTTTCAAGCCAACTTTTGCACTCTCCTTCTTCACCCGCATCAAGAGGCTCTTTAGTTCCTCTTCACTTTCCGCCATTAGAGTGGTATCATCCGCATATCTTAGGTTGTTGACATTTCTCCCGGCTGCCTGAGCAGGGGGTTGGACTAGATGACCTCCAAGGTCCCTTCCAACTTTATATTATTATTGTTGTTGTTGTTGTTACCTAGCTGGGTAACAAAATATCTGTAAGCCAACAACCAAGCCCAGAGAGCACCAAGGACTCCACAATTCAACTCTGAGCTGCAATGATCCTCTTCAATTAGAACTGTGTTTTGTTAGCATGTGGTTCTTTCCTTGCTATTTATTTTGGATCGGTTTTCTTTGAACTTGGGTTACATCCTGGACCTTGGATCCGGATTTCTGATTTCATTTTCTTATGAAACGTTTTGGGAATATCCTGTTCTGTTCTGTCTAATCCATGGCATGACTAATCTGTCTTGCTTGGGCAGTTCTTAGCATGGAGGAAGCCATTGACCTCATTCCTTTAAAACACAGATCACAACTGATAAGCCTGTGACTCCACCCTGCAGATTAAGATACCCTTAGTACCCCACCCCCAAATGGATCCTGGCCCCAACTACTCTTGAGAGCCAGCCCTTTGACATGATGTGCAAAGCCTAGCTTCCAGAGGTTGCACGCTGAGGGTGTAAAAGACCACACAGAGCAACTTGAAGTGTGCAAAACCATTCACGCTCCTGATACTACGAACTAACAACAACAACAAAATAATATAAGCTTTCCAGCTCTGATATTTAAATCAAAATAAATAGGCATTCTAAATATAAATTCCAGTTAAGCTTCCAGGAATCACTGAGAATGAGTCGGGGGGGGGGGGACATATAAAATGTCTTAAATAAATAACATCAGTTTCAAAAAAGATCTTTCTGCAACTGTATTGTTCGTAAGTGAATAAAGCATTAATATCTACAATAAACTTTCTGTACTGGATGGCAAAAGAGAGAGGGGGGGGTATTATGACAAATAAAAAGATATTTACTATGAGTTGTTGGCATAACTGAAGATCTTACTAAAACAGAATCCCCCAAAAGAAATCATGAGAGGACTTAAGGTTTTAATTGCAAGATGCTAGCTGTATAACTTCCACCTGTCTGGAATTTCAGGAGGCTTCTTGGCACAATTTGAAGCTGATAACTGAAATATTATCCAAGATAGCTTATGCAAATAAATCGAGCTGGGTGCAAAGAGGATGGACGAAGCTGCTCTGCAGGGCACCCGTGTTTTGCTGGATGCATGGCCAGAGTCTATGCAGTGCATGCCCTGCCATGCCATGACTACAATAGCACGCCATGCCTGCTATAATATGCCATGCCTGCAATGCCAGGCCATGCCATTCTATGCCATGCCTGCAATAACATGTCTTGCCATGCCAGGCCCGCAATAACATGCCATGTCTGCAATGCTAGGCCAGCCAGGCCAGGCCATCCCATGTCATGCCCACAATGACATGCCCTACCTGCCATGCCTGCCAGCCAGGGCCATGCCATGCCTGCAATAATATGCCATGCCAGCCAGGGCCATGCCATGCCTGACTGCAGGCCAGCCAGGCCAGGCCATCCCAAGCCATGCCCGCAATAACATGCCTGCAATGCCAGGCCAGGCCATCCCATGCCATGCCTGCAATAACATGCCATGCCTGCAACTGCAGGCCAGCCAGGCCAGGCCATGCCATGCCTGCAATAACATGCCATGCCAGCCAGGGCCATGCCATGCCTGCAAACTGCAGGCCAGCCAGGCCAGACCATCCCATGCCATGCCCGCAATAACACAACACACCTGCAATGCCAGGCCAGGCCATCCCATGCCATGCCCGCAATAACATGCCATGCCAGCCAGGGCCATGCCATGCCTGCAATAATATGCCATGCCTGCAACTGCAGGCCAGCCAGGCCAGGCCAGGCCATCCCATGCCCGCAATAACATGCCATGCCAGCCAGGGCCATGCCATGCCTGCAATAATATGCCATGCCTGCAACTGCAGGCCAGCCAAGCCAGGCCATCCCATGCCATGCCTGCAATAACATGCCTGCAATGCCAGGCCAAACCATACCCGCAATAACAGGCCATGCCAGCCAGGGCCATGCCAGCCAGGCCCTCCCGAGGCCGGACGGAGGAGCCCAGGCCGCCAGAGCCGGCAGGCGAGCCTCCCGGCGAGGGCCGAGGGCGTCGCGGCGACCCCTCTCCCGGGACCTTCGGGGGAGAGGAGGCGGCGGCCCGGGGCGGGGGGGCGCGTGTCTGGCGCGAGCGTCCCGGCCTCGCCTCGGAGGCCCCGCCCCCCGCCCGCCCGGCCCCTCCCGCGCCCGCCCGCCGCCATGTTGAGGCGGTCGCTGCCCGGCGCTGGGTGAGGCCTGTGCGGGCCCGGGCGGCGGCGGAGCCCGCGGCGGAGCGGCCCGGTCGGTAAGTGCGGGGCGGGCGGGCTCGGAGGGGCTGGCGGGCGGCGGCGGCGGCGGCGGCGGCGGGACGGACCGCGGGGGCGGGCGCGTGGTCGCTCTCCGGGCCCCCGCCCCGCCAACCCCGCCAGCCCGCTGGCAGGAGGCGGGCACGGGGCGCCTGGCAGGAAGCCCGCCCGGGCCGGGAGGGGGCTCCGTATGCCCGGGAGGCGGGGGCGGCGGCTCTGCCCCCTTCTGCCCAGCCGGGCTGGGTCCTTGTGGGCGGGGGGCGGCCTGCCCCTCCTTCCTGGGCAGTATAAGGCAGTGTCCTCCCCCCCCAATGCAAAATGCATCAGGAGCTTCGCCCTGCAGCCGGGGTGGCCGTCGTTCGTGCCAGGCTGGTGCTGCAAGACCCGCAGCAACTTTGGTGCCAGCTACCGGGCTCAGCGATGCGCCTTCTTCCTGGTCTCCTCCTCCTCCTCCTGGCCATCCTCATCATCTTCACGGAGTCCCCGGATTCCTTGGCACGTGTGTTTCCCCCCCCCCACACACACACAAGACCACCAGCACCCCGTGCTGAAATGCACCCCTACCAGGGCACCCGTTTGCCACCCGCACCCGCCGTGTGTGTGTGTGTGTGTGTGTGTGTGTGTGTGTGTGTGTGTATAGTATGCGTGCATGTGTGCATCGCACCCTCTTCTCCTGCCACACTCCTGCCCTATTCCCCCATCCCACCGGCTTGGCCAGCTGCAGCCCGATGGGCATCGCTTTGCTGGCATCCTGTTGCAGAGTTTGCAGAGGGGCTGGTCCGTTTGCCGCCCACCGAGGTGTTGCTGATGGTACCCACTGGTACTGATGGGCCTTTCTAGGCCACCCGACTCCATCCGGGCAAGGCAGGTTTGGCCAAGGAGAGGCATGCCCCGTCCCCAAATGCCACCTCTACGCAGGAGACCCCAGGGGAGCTGTCCATAGGAGGCTTCTCCTTGTTGCCCTCCTTCTTCTCTTTGACCCTCATCGTCTTTTCATGCCGTGTTTCTCTTCCTGCTGGCCGGCCATAAAAGTAAATATACTTGAATATTCCTTCCAATGTAGTGCGTGGCGTTTTTAGAGCTGCAGCCTCTTAATGCTTATGTGGGCTTTAGCAGAGGAGCAAGAGACCTTCGTATTGTGACTTTTTTTTCCTGCCCCCATAAAGAGAATTTGTTATATAATGGGCTCCAGTTTACAGGCTGCGACGCTTTTCATATTAACTAGGTAGAAAAAATAACCTGAAGATGCTAACCGTGCCTCCCCTCCCCTCTGCCAAAGTTCTTGTATTTCTGCAGAAAGATCGGTTAGATCTTATGGAATAGGAGATCTTTTCAATGGTGCTGGGTTTGCCTTTGTTTTCCTTCCAGCTGTTGAGATTAGCCCCTGCTTTCTTAACCCAATGCGCTTGAACACAGTATAGGGCTGTTATAAGCCCGTGTTAAGATAGCTGCATGATATTATATATTGCCAGTATATGTGATATCAATATTAAGTGAGGATGTATATGAGGCTAAGACAGGGGTCTTCAAATCTGGCCCTTTTACGACTTGAGGACTTCAACTCCCAGAATTCCTCAGCCAGCATGCCTGGCTGAGGAATTCTGGGAGTTGAAGTCCACGAGTCATAAAAGGGCCAAGTTTGAAGACCCCTGAGCTAAGACCTCTTGGAGATTGTTAAGACTGTTTGCATCTAAACCAGTGGTTCTCAACCTGTGGGTCGGGACCCCATTTGGGGTCAAACGACCATTTCATGGGGGTCACCAAACAAGGCTGTCCGCCATTTTTTTCCCTTTTCTTTGGCCACACCCCTAGCACCCGGTGATGTATAAGTGGTTGGGGGTCACCACAACATGGGGAACTGTATTATGGGGTCGCGGCATTAGAAAGGTTGAGAACCACTGATCTAAACTATAATTGGGAACCCATGAACTGATTGTACTAGTTAAGATGCTGGCCTAGAAACCAGGAGATGGTGAGTTCTCGTCCCACCTTAAGCATAAAAAAAAAAAAATCGGCTGGGTGACTTTGGGCCAGAACTTCTTTCTCAGCCCAACCCACCTCACAGGGTTGTCGTTGTGAGGAAAAGAGAAGGAAGAAGGAGTATTAGGTATGTTCACCTCCTTGAGTTACTTATAAAGTAATAAAAGAGGGATAAAAATCTAATAAATAATAAAGTACAGTTCTATGCATGTTAATAGAATAACAATACCAGAGTTGGAAGGGACCTTGAAGGTCATCTAGTCCAACCCCCTGCTCAGGCAGGAAACCCTCTACCATTTCAGACCAATAGTTGTCCAGTCTCTTCTTAAAAACTTCCAGTGTTGGAGCACCCACAACTTCTGGAGGCAGATTGTTCCACTGATTAATTATTTTACATCTTCATTGGTCCTTGCTCCCAAGTAAATAGATTAAAGCACAGGGACTTATTATATTTATATCACTATTTTTCTGGGCAGTCAAAGGAATGGAATGGACTAGACTAGAACAGAACAGAACAGAACAGAGCAGAACGAGTTGGAAGGGACCTTGAGGTCTTCTAGTCCAACCCCCTGCTCAGTGTTTGCTTGCTGAGTTTCCAAGCAGTTTACCCCTTCATCAGTGGACCAAATCCAGATGTTTTCAGCTTTAGCAAGGTGGAATCTTCATGTGATTGTCATATGAAGACAGACTCGTTACATGCAGCAGAACAACCTTTGTCTAAAGTACACTGACCCTATCTACATATCGGCCATAAGCGAAGATTTATGGAACAAGCTATCATGATTTAGATTGTCCGTTATGGCAAGTAGTAAACCGTGGTTCAGAAACACAGTGTTTGACTCACCCATCATGGTGAACCAAAACAGATCTGAGCCCAGAAACAGGGAAAGGTAGGCAAAAAGTCCAAGGAAATATCTTCACGGGATACTCTCGGCTGCTGGCGAATTCAGCTTTAAAAATAGATCCCAAACGCTTCTGAACAAAGAATGTTTCTCCCGTTTAATGATTTTATCCTTGAACTGTGCCTTTTAAATTTGTGTTGATAAAATATCTACCGCAAAGCCGTCCTTCACTAGGCAGCCTTTTTCATGTTTTCAGCCTGCTTCTGGTTAAGATTTGTTGTATTTCTCGGCCCTTCTGTTGTTGGGGGGGAAAATTGGCGAAGCGTGAGAATGCCTGGATTCACACAAATAGTGAGCTATAATGTGGTTTGTTTGTTTTTGGGGTTAGGTTGACATTAAAATTGCCCATTATGGATTAGCGTGTAATGTGAAGCCCATTATGGCCCGTTCATCAAATTGTGCTTACAAAATCTTAGCTTTATGTGAACACAGTCAGAAAGTGAAGATGGCTGGCGTTTATTTAAAAACGTTGTAAAGTTTTTGCATCATTGGCCAGCCGTTGTTTTCCTTCCATCTATATTGGACAGTATCAAATCTCTTCTGTTTTTTTACCCGCACACGAATATTCTCTAAAACAGACAATTTCACATGTGAATAGAGTTTCACAAACCTGCTGGAGACTTTAAAATGAGCTTATCTGTCATGAATGCACCAATGAAGTTGTAACATCCATTTTTTGTGGGGCTTTGTTCTGCGGGTGGGGGGGGGAAGGAATTTATCTCTCCTCTTGTTGGGCCATAAGTGTTGATTGGTTGTTTTGTACAATCCATAAACTCAATTTTGCATTGATTTCATGAGGCTACTTAGCATTTGGTAGGTGGGAAACTAAAGTAAAGACGGATGAGAAAGCACTCCTGGCAGAACAAATATAATAAGAATGAGAAGGAATTCTTTGATAGAGTGCTTGAAAACCCCAGCTTCATTAGAAGCACCTCCAGGGAGAATAGGGAAAGATATCTGTTTGAATATTCAGAAAACTACTCCTTCTGGCTCAAGTTTGTGCATCACATTAAGCTGTGGTTTGTTTTAAACATAGTTCAATGACGATAACCGCTACTGTTAGTGAGTCTGTATGTGCAGAGTTGTGCACACAACTCCAGAAGTTGTGGGCGCCTCATCCCTGGAGGTGTGTAAGAAGAGACTGGACAACCATTTGTCTAACACCATTTGATCAGGGGGTTGGACTAGAAGACCTCCGAAGTCCCTTCCAAGTCTTTGATTCTCTATTCTGTATATCTGGGTTGCTAAGCTAAAATTGAACAGACTGCATCGCAATTATGGCTTAGTGCAGGGGTAGGCAACCTTGGCTCTTTTATGACTTGTGGACTTCAACTCCCAGAGCCAAGGTTGCCTAGCCCTGGCTTAGTGAAAGTGTGAGACCCACATAGTACCCCCCCCCCCCGAGAGTTTAGACGGATTTATTTTTCCTCTCAGTTTCAGAATTCAAGAAACAGTGGAGAATATTCAGTACAGGGGTGTCCAGTTGCAGGTGTGTCTGTTCAGAAGTCCAGTAATCAGCATTGGGATCCATGAAATTAAAACGGTTAAGTTTGGAGTGGTCTTGGAACCTTATTTATGATTATTTTTGCAAATAACTCAAGGTGGCAAACACATCCACACACCTTCCTCCTCCGATGTAGCCCACAACAACAACCCTGTGGAGTGGGTGGGATGAAAGAGAGAGAGGGGGAGAGAGAGAGAGAGAGAGAGGAAAGAGACAGGAAAGAGGGAAAGAGGAAAGAGAGAGAAAGTTAGAGGAAAGAGAAAGAGGAAAGAGAGAGAGAGAGACAGAAAGAGAGAGAGAAAGTTAGAGGAAAGAAAGAGAGGGGGAAAGAGAGAGAGGAAAGAGGGAAAGAGGAAAGAGAGAGAGAGAAAGTTAGAGGAAAGAGAAAGAGGAAAGAGAAAGGAAAGAGAGAGAGAAAGTTAGAGAAAGAGAAAGAGAGAGAGAGAGGAAAGAGAAAGAGAGACAGGAAAGAGGGAAAGAGGAAAGAGAGAGAGAGAAAGTTAGAGGAAAGAGAAAGAGAGGAAAGAGAAAGGAAAGAGAGAGAGAGACAGAGAAAGAGAGAAAGTTAGAGGAAAGAGAAAGAGAGAGAGGAAAGAGAAAGAGACAGGAAAGAGGGAAAGAGGAGAGAGAGAGAGAGAAAGTTAGAGGAAAGAGAAAGAGAGGAAAGAGAGAGAGAGAGAGAGAGAAAGTTAGAGGAAAGAGAGAAAGAGGAAAGAGAAAGAGAAGAGAGAGAGAGAGAGAGAGACTGGCCAGAAAGTCAGCCAGCTGGCTTTGTTAATTTGTGAAGGTTCAGGTGATGTTTTCCCAACTGTTTTCCAAACTGCAGCGTCTGACTCCCTCAGCCTTTCTGATATTAGCATAAAAGCTGCATTACATCGGATACGAACGACGAGATTTCTTTTTTTTAATACAGTAAATGAAATGTCAGATGCAGAAGGATGGGAGCTTTAAGTCAGGGCGCTGTGGCCTGCTGGGTGCTCAGGTTTAAGTCTTCCCGTCTCACCCATTAGCATTGGGGAAGAGGTCTGCCTTGGGCCTCCAGGGGATCTAATCACGCCACTGGGTAGTGGTGATAATGAAATTTCAAAGAAGTGAAAGTTTAAAGCTCTCTTTTTCCATTAGGCAGAATGCCGTGGACTCGTTTCCTCCCTCCCTCCCTTCCTGGTTTTTCTTTATTTTTTATTATTTTAATTTTTAAAACCCAACCTGATGGTTCAGTGATTGCCTGGCATGAAGCTAAGCCTTCAGCCTGCAGTTCCAGCGACTGGTGAGTTTTCCACCAAGAAAATAGAAGACTTCCTTGTTCCCGTGCGGTCAGCGTTGACCGTTCCGGAAGAAAGGTCAGGGAGGCTGGCTTTTTTTTTTTTGTGAAGACCTTTGCACGGTATCATCCAGGGCCGAAGATTTTTTTTTCTTTTCTCCCTTTTGTTTTGGTTTGGGCTTCGCCAAGCCTCCCACGCGTACAACCCCAGGAAGATAAAAGTGTCCCCATTGTTTCGCAGCCCTCCGGCAGCCAAGAGGGAACTGCTCTGATGCAGATTTTGGCAGGGCTTCCCTTGTGGTTGGGCCCAGCTGCCAAAAGTCAGTGTGTACGCAGCACACACTTTGATTGATTCCTCCACTCCTTCCCTCGGCCCAAACTGGAAATGAAAGTCAGGCAGACAACGCCAGCAGCAAACAAGGTCAGCAGAAGAGCCCTGCAGGATGGTGATAGGAAAGCAGGGGTGGGGGGTGGGGGTGGGGGTGGGAATGAAGCTGCAAGATGTGTGCTATAATGGAAAGGGGAGCTGAAGTCCAAGTAGTGCTGAACTTAACAAGGGAGCCACAATTTCCTGTGGCTAAGAGGGACAGCAACTGTAAGTCGAGGGCTTTGTGTCCTTCAGCTCCTCTCTCCACGATGGAAGTAGCTTTTGCCCCATTTTATGACTTTCCTTGCCACACTTGTTAAGTCAATCAGTCACGGCAGCTGTTAAATGAACCTGGTTCCCCCCCCCCTTGACTTTGCCGGTCAGGGGACCGCAAAAGGGGATGGCGTGAAACCCCCGGGACACTGCGACCGTCGTACATAGGAGTCAGTTGCCAAGCGGCTGGACTTTGATCACGTGGCCACGGGGATGCTGCAACGGTCGTAAACGTGAAGTCACTTTTTTCAGTGCCATTGTAACTTTGAATGGCCACTGAACGAACGGTTGTAAGTCAAGGACTTAACAATGCAGCAATCTACCTTCAGTGGGAGAGTGCCAGGGTCAGCCTCTGCTGCTCACATCTTCCCAGTCACGTTTGTGTCGGCACTGAAAAAGAGATGCTTGAGCAACTTGCTAGGGCAGTGATGGCGAACCTTTTAGAGACCGAGTGCCCAAACTGCAACCCCAAACCCAGGTGCCGGGTGGGTGTGGCCTGTTGGGTAGGTGTGGCCCATTGGGTGGGTGGGGCCTATTGGGTGGGCGTGGCTGCAGTGATAACAGCAGACTGGGTGGGACTAAAAAGTTCAATCAATCAATTCCAACTTTGCAAGATCTTTTTTTTTCCGTGAGAAGTTGAAATTGACTGATTGAACCTTTTTTTTTTTGTACACGGCGGCGGAGGCCTAAAGCAAAAAGGTTTTATAAAACCCAGCTGAAGGCCTAGGACTGGGGCGACGGCACACATGCCCATAGAGAGGGCTCTGAGTGCTGTCTCTGGCACCCGTGCCATAGGTTCGTCACCACTGTGCTAGGGAATGTGGGAGAGAGGTCACCTTATGGTTTCCCATCCTTCTCAGATGCTTCTCCTGCTGTGTCATTTTCAGTATAGGAAAGGAAAGAAATGTGAGTGCCTCTTTTCCCTTGATGGGGCAGAGAAGAGGTTTAAATAGGCAAGAGACTACTGGAACAGGCCTGGCATCTTCTCATGCCAGGCTGTCCTACCATGGCAACTGACATGTGGACTTCAACTCCCAGAATTCCACAGGTCTTAAAGTTGAGCTGGTTGGACACCTCTCTTCTAATGCCTCATGCTGGCTGGGGAATTCTGGGGAGTTGAAGGCCACCTATCTTAAAGTTGCCTAGGCTGAAAAATAAAACAATAAAACAATTTATTGTGGCCAAGTTCAAGCTAGTAAGCTGGAATCGGGTGGCCTCTAATGAAGCAGATTTTAATGTGCCTGCTAGTTCAACAACAAATAAAACTACATTATAGGCCTGCAGGATATGGGGAGTAGTTAACAGTTGGTACTTTATCATCTCCATTCTTCAGCTACAAGATAGAGGCAGTTAGTTTCCCTGAAAACAATCTGAAGTGTGGGAGCAATTCTCCCAAAACAGGACTTTGATGCTAATAGCCCGGCCAGCTGGCAGTTATAGGGATTGAAAGCCAGCGTATCTGGAAGGTATCAGGTAGGGAACAATTTTGCTAAAATGTGAGAGCTGATAATGCAGCTCTTGCCTCCCTGGTATCGCATCTGGGTCCCTTTCACTCCCAAGACTCTCTATGCCAAAAGTGCTTTTTCAAAAGGCAACTGGACTTTCTTTGTTTTCCCTTGAAGACGTTTCGCTTCTCATCCAAGAGGTTTCTTCAGTTCCGACTGAATGGAGGAGGATGGAAGGATTTATATTCTTTGCAGTCCTCTGGTCGTTAGTATTCTTTCTGAGAGTTATTGAGGCCACTTGGAGGTTAATCTGTGCCCTGAGTAGTGCAAATGGGCACGCAGCCTAAGATGCTATACAGGTAGTCCTCAACCTACGGCCACAGTTGAGCCCCAGTTTTCTGCTGCTAAGCAACAGTTGTCAAGTGAGCGAATTAAGTGAGTTTTACCCCATTTTACGAACTTTCTTGCCCTAGTTATAAAGTAAAAATGCAGCAGTTGTTAAGTTAGCCACGCCGTTGTTTAAGCGAATCCGGCTTCCCCCATTGGCTTTGCTTGTCAGAAGGTCACAAATGGGGATCCTGTCACACACACACCCCTGGGACACTGCCACCGTCATATATATGAGCCAGTGGCCAAGGGTCCACATTTTGATCACATGACCACAAGGATACTACAACAGTCGTAAGTGTAAAAAAAAAAAAACCCAGCCATAACTCACTTTTTTTCAGTGCCGTTATAACTGCAAAAGGACCCTTAATAAATGGTTGTAAGACGAGGATGACTTGTATTTGTAGGAAATGTACATTCCCCGTCTCGCTTCTGACGGACTTTTTTTTTTTTTTTTTTGATTGACAGTTTTCATCATGGGGGACATGAAAACTCCAGACTTCGACGACCTCCTGGCTGCGTTCGACATTCCTGACCCAACCAGCCTTGACGCCAAGGAATCTATCCAGACAGCCGGCGAGGAGAACGAGAGCCACCTCAAGCAGACCGGGATCGGCATCGACGAAAACGCCTCTTTGTCCCACGCTGCCCCGGCCTCTGACGTTCCGGTCGTGAGCGTCATTGTGAAGAACACCTGTCGCCAGGAGTCATTCGAGGCAGAAAAGGATGGCAGTCACCTTGGGCCGGGCTTGTTGCACAACGGATTCCGTGGCTCGGATCTGCCCCTGGAGACTCACAGCTACGGGAAATTCGATTCGGCTTTCATCAACGGGGACGGCTTGAGGAACTACCCAGAGAAGTTGGAACACGCCAAACCCGAGCCTTTACCAACCTTTAGTCAGTTCAGTCCCATCTCCAGCCCGGAGCCCGAAGACGTCCTCAAAGAAAACAGTATTGTAGACAAACCTAAACATGCCCAAACTCCTTATTTCCCACCCCATCCCATGTATATTCCATCGGGGTCATCCGTGTTAGATTTGCTCAGTAGGACCTTGCCGGAGCCGGAATTTAGTAGGTTTATATCCACTGGTCCATCGCTGCTAGATCTCTTAAGTAAGAAACTGCCCGAACCGGAGCTGAGTATGTTTGATCAATATTGTAAAAGAGACCCAAAGATTGACATCCACGGGCTTCAGGAGAACAGGGCAGACGTCACCACCAAGGGAGAACGTGACAAGAGTCCAGAGAAGTGTGACGGGCCCGGCAAAGACCTCACAGACACACATGGTTCCTTTGGGGAAGGGCTGCCTCTTGGCAACTTCCACGGAAATAACCTGGGGGACGGTAAAGGTTCTGTGCCCGAGGTGACCTTCTCTTCCTCGGTCCCACCTCGCCAGCGTCTCAAGCCCACTCACTCCAAGCTTTCCTCTTGCGTCGCTGCCCTGGTAGCGCTCCAGGCCAAAAAGGTTGCGGGGATCTCCAAGGAGGATCAGGGGACGAGAGAGCCTCCCGCCTCCTTTAAGGATGGCGTTAAGGGGAGTCCCAAAATGCCCAAGTCGCCAAAGAGCCCCAGAAGCCCCCTGGAAATGGTGAGAAAGGCCAGCAAACAGCCCGAATCTCCCCGGAGCGTGTGCAGCGACAGCAGCGGCAAAGGATCTCCTTCGATGGCCACCGGCTCCCCGCCGGCCATTCCCAAAGTCCGGATCAAGACCATCAAGACCTCTTCCGGGGAAATTAAAAGGATGGTGACGAGAATCTTGCCCGAGGCAGACGAGCTGGGCAAATCTCCTCATGATTCGCCTGCTGACGGCTCAATGCTCGAATCCTTCCCTTCTCCAGAAGCTGCCTCTTCCATGGAAGCCGAGCCGGGCAAGGATTTTCCAAAAGCAAGCCCCCTGGAACCAAATTTAGCCAGCCCCCAAATCAACTCTTTGATTTCGGACGTTCCCCTAAGCGGCATCCCCGGTGCGTCGCTCTTGGCCAACAGCGGGACGACGAAAGTCGGCCTGGCGGGGCAGCCATTGAGCAAGAAGCAGCCGTCGGGCATCGTGGCCCAGCTCTGCAACCCCGCCAGCCTCCTCCCCAAGGCCGTGCACCTGGCCAATCTCAACCTGGTGCCCCACAGCGTTGCCGCTTCAGTGGCAGCCAGGTCATCCGTGCAGCGGCGCAGCCAGCCCCCACTGAGCCAGGTGACCGTGCCGCTGGTGCAGCAGGTCAAGAAGACCGCCCCGCTCGTGGTGGAGGCGTTCAACAAAGTGTTGCATGGCGCCAACCCCGTGCCAATCTATACGCCCAACCTCAGCCCTCCCCTGGAGAGCAGTATTCACGTCCCGGCCGCTGGGTATTGTTGCCTGGAATGCGGGGATTCCTTTGCCTTAGAAAAAAGCCTGACGCAACATTACAGTCGGAGGAGTGTGCACATCGAGGTCATGTGCACTCAGTGTTCAGCCACGCTGCTCTTCTTTAACAAGTGCAGCCTGCTCAAGCACGCACGGGATCACAAGAGCAAAGGCTTCATCATGCAGTGCTCGCAGCTCTTCTTGAAGCCCATTTCTGCTGACCAAATGTTCTCGCCGTCCCCCACCAGCTCGTCAGCGTCTTCAAGCCCGCCGACCGCCCGGTTGCCCTCTCTGCCCCAGAAGCCCTGCGCCGCCCCAGGAGGTGCGGTGGGCAGCCCGAGCGGTGCTCAGCCGGCCCTGCCTCTGTACACAGACCCCTTGAGACTTATTCGTTATGGATTAAAGTGTTTTGAATGTAATAAACAGGCCTTGGACTATATTGCCCTAGCAGCACATTATCAGAGGACCTCGGAAGAGAACGAGGGCCTGGTAAGTCATTTCTGGACCTGTTGGGTTAATTCCCCCACCCCCTTTGGGGTTCTTCTCAGTGGGCAAGTTTCCGTTGCTAAACAAGACAGCCGTTAAGTGAGTTTTGCCTCATTGTACGACCTTTCTTGCCACGGTTCTTAAGCGAATCGTGACAGTTGTTAAGTCGGGAACACGGTTGTTAAGTGAACCCGGCTTCTCCCCCTGACTTCGCTTGTCAGAAGGTCGCAAAAGCGGATCACGTGACCCCGGGGGACACTGCAACTACCGTATATTCCGGCGTATAAGACGACTTTCTAAGGCGTAGAAATCGGCACCGAAGTTGGGGGTCATCTTATACACCGAGTCGTCTTATACGCCGGAAATAACTGTAGTTTCCGGCGTATAAGATGACTATCTAGGGATACAACTCGGCGCCGAAGTCAGGGGTCGTCTTATACGCCGGATCACCTTATACGCCAGAAAATACGGTATCATAAATACGAGTGTAGTTGCCAAGCCTCCCAATTCTTGTTCGTGAGACCACGAGGGTGCTGCAGCGGTCCTAAGGATGAGAAAGGATCCTAAATCCCCTTTTTTAGTGCCGTTGTAACTTTGAACAGTCACTAAAGGAACTCTTGTGAGAAGAGGACCATCTATATATTAAGCCAGGAGGGGTAAAAAAAAAAGTGCCCTTTATTGAAAAGTAGATGAATTTTGCAGGTGTGATCTAGTGTACCTCTGGATCTAAATTTGGTTTTCATGGTATTTAGTGCAACTGTTTGTTCCATAAGTCCACTGGTTCTAGAAAACAGCAGCGTGGCACTTCCTCCTATTCTGCTGAGTTTTGCGTGGGAGCTTTTCAGAGTCCGTTTCTGTTCTGTGCTTCCCTCCTCAGTGTGTATTTGGGAGATAAAAAGCGCAACCCATAGATAGTTGTGTTCACCAACAAGGGAAGGTGTGGGTGCTCTGATGGTTATGGGCAAACGTGCAGCTCTGCTAGTTAAGGCCCCAAGAGCTGCAGTCGATTTGAAAGGAACAAATGGCCCTCTCCACCTTTTAGTTTTCAGTTGTGTGGTTGTTCTGAGCTGGCCTCCTTTGAATGTGTTGCTTCCTTTCAGCAAAATCTTCAGGTGACGGTTCCGATGGTTTTGACCAATTTCCTGTTCGTGCTGCGTTTCTGTATTATGTGGAAAGTTACCTCTTTGTAGAACCTTTGATTAGCTGTGCAAATGTGCTGGGCTAGCCTGCAACTTCTTTTTCTAGCTGTGTAGGCTTCTATGGAGACAATTCGGTGTTGTAACTGGAGGCTAATCAGCCTCAAGAACGCCGTTGTTTACAGGAAGAGGCAAGAGTCCGTATTGTGATGCTTCACAATTTGTAGAAATAAGATTAAAACCCCCAGTAAGATAAAATAAGTGTTACGTTCAAGTGGCTGTTAGGGAACGAGTCCAAATTCTGCATGTAGACACTGCCTTTCTATGGAACAGTAAACCAGGCCTCTTCCCAATTTTGTCTTGCTTCTAAAAAACAGTGCTTGGATACACACTACTGTGTTTCAGCGAGCACAGCCAACTAAGCCAGACAACCTAAACTACCAACCCGTGTGTTGTCGTAAGACCCACACCTCCACAGTTCATTCTTGGCTTCTGTCTTTGGAGAGGAAAAAGCCAGAATCTCTAGTTTGTGTACAATCTAGTAACCAAAACTAGACGGAGTTGTCTAATGTGTATCTCGGATATGTGCCAAAAGGTTTTTTATTCAAGAGGCTGCTGGAATGTCTTAGTTTTTCTTTTGAAGACCTTTCGCTTCTCATCCAAGAAACTTCTTCAGCTCTGACTGGATGGTGGGCAGTGGAAGGGTTTCCGTTCCTTGTGGGCAAGCCTGTCCCATCTGCACTGTTGGACAGCGTCCCGAAGATTCTCTTAATGAGGATGTTGATAATCCAACCTGAATCGGTGGCTGATACACAAAACTAACACACGTTCCAGCAATGTGGGATGATCGAGTGGTACGCTTCGGTTTTGAGTTGATTGTGAACATGTGCGGTCACTAAACTCAAAAACGCTTTGGACAGCCAAGCGTGGATCATTTGAAAGCAAGTATAGCCTCTACCCTTGTAAAAGTTTAAGCTGACAAATAATTGGGATAAATAGTATTGATTTTACCATGTTTATAATGTTTAAACTTGATAAATCAGTATACTGAAACAAATTAAGTTGGTTTTAAGTTATTCTAAGAGAATGCACTATTCTGTTTTTGTAATCATAAATTGTCATTTTAGAGCAAGGCACATATTTCAGTTTTTAAATATTAATGACATTGGCAACTTGCAGCTGCTTTCATAACTAACATAAATCACCATCTTGCTTTTTTTTTAATTTAAAAGTTTTATAAATTTATTACAATATAAACCCCCCCTTTCCCCCCTCCCCCACTTCCCAGTGCTGATTACAGGGTAGAAAATAAAATAAACAAACGTAATCTAACTAACATAAACCAACTATACTATCAATCAAAACCGTAACACACTTTAACTCCTTCTCCCAACAAATATTAACCAATTAAGTCAAAAATAATAAAATAATTAAAACTAATAATAATTATCTAAGATCTACTCAAAAGCAAGATAATACTTTTCAATCTCATATTTCTTCTGAATGTAATCAATCCATCTTCTCCAAACCATAATATATTTTTCTTGTAAATGATCCTTCAAATAGGCGGAGATTAGTTTGATAGTTTTAACATGTTAGAATCCTAGGATTAGAAGGGACCTCAAAGGTCTTCTAGTCCAACCCCTTGCCCCAGGCAAGTGGCCTCGTACCATCTTGAACAAGTGATTTTCCAATCTTTTTTGAAAACTTCCAGCAATGGAGCACCCACAACTCTGAGAGGCAAGCTTTCCCATTGATTAATGATTGTCAAGGAATTCCTCCTTAATTTCAGGAGTTCCCTCTTGTCTCCTTTAACGATTGAGGGAGTGGGTGTTTGTGAGCAAGCAATAGTGTACACCCACGTGTGTAAATTTCCAGGGAATGACTTCAGCAGAGACCACAAGGCTTGAGATTTCCCTGCAGCTGTACTGACAGGTGCTCAGCTGAGCAAATGTGGCAGGAGAGCCAGGCCTAGTGGGAGGAAATAGCATGGGCCAACCTCTTGCAACCCTGTTGGAGACTGGATCCAAGCCGTTGGATCCTCCTAGGGGACCACTACAGGTGGTCCTCAATTTACGACAGTTCATTTAGTTCATTTTCAGTTACAACGTCACTGAGAAAAGGGACCATTTTTTCCACACTTAGCCACCGTTGCAGCATCCCCGTGGTCACGTGATCAAAATTCAGACGCTTGGCAATTGACTCGTATTTATGATGGTCGCCGCGGAAGCCAAGATTCATTTTAACAACCGGATTATTAATTTTAACAGCTGCTGTAATTCACTTCCTAACTGTGGGAAGAAAAGTCATAAAATGGGGCAAAACCTCCTTGATCAAATGTCTCGCTTAGCTACATTATGGTCGTGAGTCGAGGACTGTCTGTAAGACACTGATCAGGGAGCACTCCTAATTGAGTGAAGCTGCTTAACTGCTTCATGCACATTCAGCTGGGATACCTGTGCATGAAATCTGTCTGTCCATGAACAATTTCTTTTTAAGATTAAGGGAGGGTCTTCATGTTGTTGTTAGTTGTGAAGTCGTGTCCGATCCATTGTGATCCCATGGACAACGTTCCTCCAGGTCTTCCTGTCCTCTACCATCTTCTGGAGTCCATTTAAGCTCACGCCTCCTGCTTCAGGGACTCCATCCAGCCACCTCATTCTCTGTCGTCCCCTTCTTCTATTGCCCTCAATCTTTCCCAGCATTAGGCTCCTCTCCAGTGAGTCCTTCCTTCCCATTAGGTGGCCAAAGTGAGTTTCAGCTTCAGGATCTGGCCTTCTAAAGAGCAGTCAGGGTTGATCTCCTCTAGGACTGACCAGTTGGATCGCCTTGCAGTACAGGGGACTCGCAGGAGTCTTCTCCAGCACCATAGTGCAAAGGCCTCAATTCTTTGGCGCTCAGCCTTTCTTATGGTTCAACTTTCACAGCCATGCATTGCAACTGGGAAGACCACAGCCTTGACTATACGCATTTTTGTTGGCAGGATGATGTCTCTGCTTTTTAGTATGCAGTCTAGATTTGCCATAGCTTTCCTCCCCAGGAGCAAGCGTCTTTTAATTTCTTGGCTGCAGTCCCCATCTATGAAAACCCCATGGACAGTACTAAAAGGGTCTTCATAGATCTTCATTTAAACTGTTAGGAACAGTTAGGAATAGACTTGTTTGTTCCCCAGGTCTGACATTTATTAAGCGAAAATGCAGATGGGATGTCGAAATAGAACTACATGTTATATCCTCAGCTGAACATCTGTCTTTTGTCTTTCTCCCCTCCCGTGAAGCTCAAACATCTGGGAAGCGCAGTGTTCCAGCTCCAGATGCTTAGAAGCTGTAGCCTTGAAAGCTGTTTCACTCCTCCGTTGTTGTTTTTTCCTCTCTGCCTCTACTTCAGTCCAAACGCCTTTCATATCTCATCTGATGAAGAATGGGGAGTTGTAGCATTCCTGGGTGACACTTCTGTTTGTGCAGAGACAAGTTTTAAACGGTGTCGCTTTACCGCTAATCCTCGACTTAACAACAGTTCACTTAATGGCCGTGCAAAGTTACAACAGTGCTGGGGGAAAAAAGTGACTTAGGACCATTTTCACACTTACGACTGTTGCAGCATCTCCATGGCGAGGTGACGTATGTTCAGATGCTTGACAACTGACTCATAATTATGATGGCTGCAGTGTCCCGGGGTCTTGTGATCCCCTTGTGCGACTTTCCGACAAGAAAAATCGATGGGGAAGCCAGATCACTAAACAACTTACCAGCTGTGGCAAGAGCGCTCGTAAAATGGGGCGAAACGCTCTTAACAAAGTCTTTCCTTAGCTTTGGAAATGTTGCGTTCAGTTGTGCTCATGTAGATGGATGATATTCAGTGGTTCAGCTTGATTGTTTGTCTATGGCAGTGGTTCTCCACCTGTGGGTCGGGACCCCATCTGGGGTCGAACGACCATTTCACGGGGGTCGCCAAACAACGCAGTCTGCCATTTTTTCCCCCTTTTCCTTAGCTGTGCTCCTCCCTTTTATTCTATTGGCTTTTGAAAGCCAATAGAATAGACTCTCTTGAATAGAGTCTAATTCTATTGGCTTTCCAAAGCCAATAGGAATGGTCCAGGCTGTCTCTGCCCTACTGAGCCCGCCAAAAGTCCCATTCTGCAAATGGGGCTGCACCAGTTGAGTAGTCCTCGACTTACGACCGGTTGAGTAGTCCTCGACTTACAACCGGTTGGGGGGGGCATTAAAAAGGTTGAGAACCACTGGTCTATGGAGTAAGGAGACTTAACGTCCTTCCCACGTTGGCAAAAATAACAATAACCCAGAATCTTTGCTACCCCAGGACCGGTAGCGAACAGGTCTTTCCCGTCTGAGGACCTGCATTTGGTGGCAGTGCTTGCGAGCTGCCTTAGTGCAATTTGGAAGGCCCTTTGCATTTGTTCTGAAACTTAGAAAATTGAGGATAAATGGGTGCTGCATGCAAATGCCCTGGATTTAATTCATGCGCCGCACAGTGTGTGCATTTGCCTTCCTAAGAGCAGCTGTCAGGGAGCTTGCAATAAAAATCACCATGAGAAATAAATACAAAGGGCAAAATGAAGCCCTAAATTTAACAATCTGCTCGAAGCCTCTCAAAGGAAAAAGAGCAGAGATGGAACGACTTCAGCCACCCATTTCGAACTGGCTTTAAGGAATGTTTCTTGCATCCGGCTGCATTTATTTTGGGGGGGGGGGTTAGGTTTTAACCAAGCCAGTTTTAAAGCCTGTGGCTTTCTTTTTGTTTGTCTAGGCTGGGGAAGGCTTTCTGCGACTTTTATTTGGGGAGGGTTTCATCCTGCCTTTTATCAGCCGGCTTTGGTGGGCAAAGGATATGAGACACGTAAATAATCATAAGATTATTGACAAAGTACAAGAAAGAATTAAGTTTTCTGGGATTTCTTTAAAAAAGCAAAACAAAACAGTGATACAGTAGCAAAAAGAAAATAGAAAAGTGCTAGATATGTTTTGGAGAGTATTACAGACTTTGGGGTTGGGGGTTAAGTTGATTTTTCTCTGAACAAAATAATAATAATAATAATAATGATAATAATAATAATAATGATGTCGATAAGAAAGACAAAAAAGTCTGGATAGTGGACGTGGCAGAGCCTGGAGATAGCAGAATAGAAGAGAAAGAACTGGAGAAGATAACAAAATACAAAGACCTACAAATAGAAATAGAAAGACTGTGGCAAAAGCAAGCAAGGGTAGTACCAATAGTCATAGGCTCCTTGGGTGCAATCCCAAAACAACTGGAGCACCACTTGAACACAATTGGCATTGACAAATTCGCTATTAGTCAATTGCAAAAGGCGGCCTTATTAGGAACTGCTTCCATCCTGCGACGATACCTGTAATACCATCAAACATCCACATCTGCCTATCCCAGGTCCTGGGTAAGGACTCGATAGGTAGACAAAATGCCAAATCCAGTCTGAACATCTGGCTGACTGTGCGATGATCGATATAATAATAATAGTCAATTGCAAAAGGCAGCCGTACTAGGAACTGCTTCCATCCTGCGACGATACCTGTAATACCATCAAACATCCACATCTGCCTATCCCAGGTCCTGGGTAAGGACTCGATAGGTAGACAAAATGCCAAATCCAGTCTGAACATCTGGCTGACTGTGCGATGATCCATAATAATAATAATAATAATAATAAAAGAAAAGAAGAAGAAGAGAAGAAGAAGAAGAAGAAGAAGAAGAAGAAGAAGAAGAAGAAGAAGAAGAAGAAGAAGAAGAAGAAGAAGAAGAAGAAGAAGAAGAAGAAGAAGTAGTAGTAGTAGTAGTAGTAGTAGTAGTAGTAGTAGTAGTAGTTATTAACGTTCCCCAGGCTACATGGATATTATATAACTGCACCCTTACTCTGCAGGCTGTTTAGGCAGATAGTCAATTGAAATATCAATTTATAACAATGTCAATGAAAGGGGTAATTTCAATAGATAATTCTCCGGCTGAATATTCTGCCCTGAGCTCCCGGCTTGCAGGATTGTTTTCTTTGTATTTGGGCTTTCATTGTCATGCCTTTTCCTTTGCCCTGTTGTCAAGGTTAAAATTAAATACCCGATTGAACCGATAGGAAAGAAGTGTGTTTGCTCCCGAGGGGCATAAATATACAGCCAGTTTTGGCATTTGCTCAGAGAAGGGGAAACTTTCCCCTTAATAAATTGGAGTTCTCATCTACTTCTCCATGCTGGACAGACATTTTAGTGCGGTTTGGGGACAAAAACTGCCAGTTAGAAGTTTTATTTTTCTGAGTCTTATCTGCAGCAGACCATCTGCAGGCAGCGTAGGATTTGGGTGGTGTGTCTTTCGGCGTCTCTTTTTGGTCAAACCAAGAGCTTTTTCAAGCATCGGCCACCTTCATGTAGAAGGCTAAAAGGGCACCGCTCAGCTAGCCAGCCAGCAAGGGCCTGCCGTTGGAAAGCTACCATTCTCGCTTAGTGGGAGTAGAGGTAGTCCTCAACTTAACGACCACAAGGGAGCCCCACGTTTCTGTTGCTCAGCGAGACATTTGTTACGTGCCCCATTTTGGCAATCTTTCTTGCCACCGTCGTTAAGCGAATCGCCTCAGTTCTTTAGTTAGTCACACCGTCATTAAGTGAATCTGGCTTCCCCATTGACTTTGCTTGTCAGACGTTCCCTTGGATGACACACACACACCTCCGGGACACTGCAACCGTCATAAATACGAATCAGTTGCCGAGGGTTGGAATTTTGATCACGCGACTGCGGGGATGCCGCGACGGCCGTAAGTGTAAAAAACGGTCCCAGATCCCTTTTTTCCAGCACTGTTCAAATGGACACTAAGCGAACTGTTGTAAGTCAAGGACTACCTGTAGTTGAACAAGACAAGAAGTCTCCCTCTAGGACAGTTTCTCAACTGCAGCAGTCATGTGAAAAACAGTTGTAAGTCACTTGTTTCAGTGCTGTTGTGACTTTGAAAGGACACTAAACAAACTGTTGTAAGTCAAGGACTGCCTGTAGTTGAATAAGACCTCTAGGGCAGTTTCTCCACCGTGGCGACTTTAAGCCGCGTGGACTTCAACTCCCAGAATTCCCCAGCCAGCGGTGCAAATCAAGGTGCCTCTCTATTTCCTCTCTCCTAGACGTGTCAAGTGTGTCAGATGCTGTTGCCGAACAAATGCAGCTATTGTGCTCATCAAAGAATCCACGCACACAAATCTCCCTACTGCTGCCCTGAGTGCGGAGCCATATGCCGGTCAGCCTACTTCCAAACTCACGTCAAAGAGAACTGCCTGCATTACTCCCGCAAAGTCGGTTACAGGTCAGTGCTAAATTTGTGGAAGTAAGTAGCAAGTAGCTGTTTTATGCAGTGTGTGTGTGTGTGTGTGTGTGTGTGTGTGTGTGTGAACGGCCTCGTTTCTCTCCCCCTTCTGGAGCTTTGAAGGCCCCTTTCCAGACACGCATTCTAGGCCCAGAGGCGAGAAAGTTGGCTTTGGGGCAGATTGCAAGAGTCCCGCTTAAGGATTCGTTCCCGTTTTTGTAGGGGAGAAGTGATGCTGATCGTCTTTAATTTTTTTTTTTTTTTTAGCTGATCACAAGTCATCTGCAACAGGTGATTTTTTGCCAGCCTTAACACCTGTCAGAAGGGCCTTTTTCATTCTGCTGACTTTCTCAGAAGCCTGACGTTGCCGCCAGTGAACAACGTCCTCACAGTTACTCATTTCTGGCCAATTAAAGCTCTTTCGTCTGGTGCAGAAATGGCCAGCAGAGAAGAAGGAGCAAGGCTTAACCCAGATTAGTATTTTCACAGTGGCTGCCGTTGGCTTCAGAGAATTGATATGGTGGGGTGGCTCTCCTTTTTTCAATCCCTGGCCATATCTCAACCTCTGATGTGTAGCCATTATCTGCAGCAAGCTATCTATGAACCTTCACGACTCCTTCATGGATGATTCCGTAAAGCAGACACGGGTTTGTTCCCATTTCCTGACCATCTATAGCAGTGGTTCTCAACCTTTCTAATGCCGCGACCCCATAATACAGTTCCCCATGTTGTGGTGACCCCCAACCACTTATACATCACCGGGTGCCAGGGGCGTGGCCAAAGAAAAGGGGAAAATGGCGGACAGCCTTGTTTGGCGACCCCCATGAAATGGTCGTTCGACCCCAAATGGGGTCCCGACCCACAGGTTGAGAACCACTGATCTATAGAAATGATGCTGGCAGATTTTGTGCCTTCCAGCTAAGTGTGTTCCTCTCCTTTTCCTCAGGTGCAGCCACTGTGGGGTGGTTTTCATGTCCCAGGCTATGCTGAAAGTCCACATTCACGAGAAGCACTGTGAAGTCTTCCACAAGTGTTCGTTCTGCCCCATGGCCTTCAAGTCTGCAGACAGCACCACCGCTCACATTACCAGTCAGCATCCTGCAGAGCCTCACAAGACATCTCAGTAAGTGATCTGTTGGGGTCCAGGTGCTTGTTTTACATCATTGCAGTTCTGGAGTGTCTTTGCCTTCTTCATCTGAGCCCTGGTGCTGCAGTAGTTAGAAGGCAGTATTGCAGGCTGACTCTGCCGGCTGCCAGCAGTTTGATCCTGACCAGCTCAAGGTCAACTCAGCCTCCATCCTTCCGAGGTCGATAAAATGAGGACCCAGATTGTTGGCGGGCTGTATGCTGGCTCTGTAAACCACTTAGAGGTGGCTGTAAAATTACTGTAAAGCAATATATAAGTCTAAGTGCTATTGCTGTCTGGTTCTTTGACAAAGGCTGCCTCCTCAACTGAGCCATGTTTTCAGGAGTGTCTCTGGCCCAGTTTTGTGAAACAGGAGGAATAGAATCTGCACTTCTCTCTTTCTCTCTCTCTGTCTCTGTCTCTCTCTACGTCTCTGCCTCTTTCTCTGTCTCTCTGTCTCTGACTCTCTCTCTTTCTCTCTCTCTCTCTCTTTCTCTCTCTGTCTCTGTCTTTCTCTCTGTGTCTCTCTTTCTCTTTCTCTCTCTTTCTCTGTCTCTTTCTCTCTGTGTCTCTTTCTCTCTCTCTTTCTTTCTCTGTCTCTCTCTCTCTTTCTCCCTCTCTCTCTCTGTCTCTTTCTCTCTCTGTGTCTCTCTCTTTCTCTCTCTGTCTCTTTCTCTCTCTCTGTCTCTCTCTTTCTCTGTCTTTCTCTTTTTCTCTTTCTCTCTCTGTCTCTTTCTCTGTCTCTCTTTCTCTATGTCTCTTTCTCTCTCTCTTTCTCTATTTCTTTCTCTCTGTGTCTCTCTTTCTCTCTCTGTCACTCTGTCTCTCTTTCTCTCTCTGTCTCTCTCTCTCTGTCTCACTCTCTCTGTCTCTCTCTCTTTCTCCCTCTCTTTCTCTGTCTCTTTCTCCCTCTCTTTCTCTCTCTCGGTCTATCTGTCTCTCTCTCTCTCTCTCTCTCTCTCTCTGTGTCTCTCACTCCCTCTGTCTCTTTCTGTCTCTCTCTGTCTATTTGTCTCTCTTTCTCTCTGTGTGTGTGTGTGTGTCTCTCTCTCTCTCTCTTTCTCTGTCTCTTTCTTTCTGTGTCTCTTTCTCTGTCTCTTTCTCTCTCTGTCTCTTTCTCTCTGTCTCTTTCTCTCTTTCTCTCTCTCTGTCTTTCTCTTTCTCTGTCTTTCTCTTTCTCTCTCTCTGTCTCTCTTTCTCTATGTCTCTTTCTCTCTCTCTTTCTCTATTTCTTTCTCTCTGTGTCTCTTTCTCTCTCTGTCACTGTCTCTCTTTCTCTCTCTCTCTCTGTCTCTCTCTCTCTGTCTCACTTTCTCTGTCTCTCTCTCTCTTTCTCCCTCTCTTTCTCTCTCTCGGTCTATCTGTCTCTGTCTCTCTCTCTGTGTGTGTCTCTCGCTCCCTCTGTCTCTTTCTCTGTCTCTCTCTCTGTCTATCTGTCTCTCTTTCTCTCTGTGTGTCTCTTTCTCTCTCTCTCTCTCTCTCTCTCTGTGTCTCTCTCTGTCTCTCTCTCTCTTTCTCTCTCTGTCTCTCTTCCTCTCTCTTTCTCTCTCTCTGTTTCTCGCTCTCTCTCTCTCTGTGTCTCTCTCTCTTTCTCCCTCTCTTTCTCTCTCTCTCTCTCTGTGTCTCTCTCTCTGTCTCTTTCTCTCGCTCTGTCTCTCTCCCTCTGTCTCTCTCTCTTTCTCTCTCTCTTTCTCTCTCTCTCTCTCTCTGTGTCTCTCCCTCTGTCTCTCTCTCTTTCTCTCTCTCTGTCTCTCTGTTTCTCTCTCTCTGTCTGTCTCTCTCTTTCTCTCTGTCTCTCTCTTTCTCTCTCTGTCTCTTTCTCTCTGTGTCTCTCTCTGTCTGACTGTCTCTCTCTCTCTCCCTCTCTCTTTCTCTCTGTCTGTGTCTCTCTCTCTCTCGATCTGGAAAGTTATATTACAGTTCTTTTTTTTTTTTTTAAATTTGCTTTTCTGGATTCATCCCTTCATGAAGGAGTAAGTTCTCATTTTTTTTCACACTCAACTGTTCCAGGGTGATCTACAAATGCTCCTGTGAGACGGTCTTCAACAAGAAGAGACTTCTGCAAGAGCACTTCCAACAAAATGCCAACCGGCTGATGGTGGGCGTGTTCAAGTGCCCCCACTGCCAACTGGTGTACATGCAGAAGTTGCAGTTAATGCAACATGTCAAGGTGGGTAGGACAAGACCGCTCCCGCACTTCTGCAGACCTTGACCCGCCTTCCACATTTGAAGCTCACCCCTTGAAACACCTTCGATGCCTTTTATTTTCCCACATCTGATGGATCCCTCAGCAGCATCCTCTCCCCATAGTTGTCTCTTAAGATTTAGGTTGCTTGACTGTAATTTAGCCATAAACCACAATTGACCGGATTTAAAGGACAAGCTAAGCCTACAAATTGCAGAGCACAGTGGCTGGGTTCACATAGCATGCTAGTCCAGACCAAATGCATTACAACTTAGTATAACAAGGACAGTTTCCTAAAATCACTTTTTTTTGTTTGTTTGTTTGTTTAGCAACTCTGTTTCAGCAGCCTGCAATTTATAAACCTCACCTGATATAACGTCACGCCCCAAATTCCCCCCAGTTCTCTGCATTTGTGATCTTGATCTTGAATTTGGGGTGGGGCGGGGGGGGGGTATCTCCAAACTGGCCAACTTTAAGATTTGTGGACTTCAATTCCCAGAATTCCTCAGCCAGCAGAGGTGAAGGCCACAGGTCTTTAAAGTTGCTGAGTTTGGAGACCTCTGATTTAAAAGGTCATCCAAAACTTTGAACTGGGTCCAGAAATGGCCCAGAAATCAGGACCGTTGGCACAATATACACCTAATGTGAACATAACGCCCAGCTGTGGTTGGTAATCTGATCGAGATGGGAGATCTAGATGGTAGATTTCTAGATGGGAGATCTAGAAATAAAAAAAACAAAAACCTGGCATGCTCATCAGCTGGACGAGCCGTTCCACGCTCTGCCCTTTCCGTGTGGATCTGCTTGCTAGCTAAGCTTGATTCCTTGACTTTCCCTAGAGCATCCATGGAGTCCCGGAAAACCCCGAGGATCTCACCAGCGCTCGGCAGAAGGTTGAGACGGCCACCACGAGCAGTCCCGTCCTCCCCACATCCAAGGACCTGGCCATCGTCAACGGGACTTCTCAGCCGACCTCTTTGCCTACCAAAGGCATGAGCCCAGACTCCAAGCCAAAGTCCAAAACGTGCAGTTGGACTTGCCGGGTGTGCTCGCAGTGGATCCCCGATCGTGAAACTTACGTCTCCCACATGAGGAAAAGCCATGGAAAGGTAACCCACCTGCCAAAAGCTTAGGAGCACCTGGACACTCTTCCCACCGTTCAGGGCAGTGACCTCTTTTCACTTCCTAGCAATGCCATGGAAACGGGAACGAGGAGAAGAATGCTTGCTTTTATTCTTCCCCTTTTCTTCTACTTATTTGATTTAGGGCAGGGGTAGGCAACCTTGGCTCTTTTGTGACTCGTGGACTTCAACTCCCAGAATTCCTGAGCCAGCTTGCTGAGGGGAAAGGGAGAGGTTTCCAAGCTGAGCCATGCTGGCTCAGGAATTCTGAGAGTTGAAGTCCACAAGTCATAAAAGAGCCAAGGTTGCCTACCCCTGGCCTACACAGATTCCCTGGGATCCAAACAGGCTACTTTAGACTGCTGTTTTTGGATTACCTTGTGCTCCATTTTGTTTTTTTGCGTGGGGGCTGTCTCTGGCTTTCTGCCCCCAAATGAAGTGGGGGCATTTATGAGTAAGGGGTTGAAAAAAGCAAGGCTGCCCCATTTACCAACCCTCTCTCCGTTTAGCTTAGAACAGATCAACGATGTACACCAGTGTTTTTCAACCTCAGCCACTTTAAGTCCCATGGACATTGACTCCCAAAATTCCAGAATGGCTCAGCTTGGAAGCCTCTCCCTTTCCCCTCAGCATTGCTGGCTCAGGAATTCTGGGAGTTGAAGTCCATGAGTCATAAAAGAGCCAAGGTTGCCTACCCTTGATTTAGGACATAACAGAATACAGCATTCACCGTTGCTTTTATTTTTGGTATCACGCTGCTGCTTCTTGCTGGGAGATTCTTGTGAGGTCCAACAATCAGAATGAGCAGACTAGTTAGCCATGACCAAGTCCTATTGTCTGGGGTGTGCCACGAGGGGGCTAGTGGATACCGCACCCCTTCCTGTTCTAGTTACGAGGTGGGAAGTGATAAATCCACGTTGTCCTTTTCTCTCAAGAAGCCCTCCACAAAAAACATTTAAGCAGAGGGAAAGTTGGCTGTTAACCCTCCCCACTAACACTGGTGATGTTACCTAGTTGGGTAATTAAAGGTCTGCAAGAAAACCAGCTCAAGAAAGCACCAAGGACCCCTGTTACCCCTCTGATCACAGCAGGCAGTCCTCGATTTAAGAACTACAATTAGTCCTGCAGTTATTGTTGTAAGTCACAATTAGTCATTAAGCATTTCACCATGTGACTGTGCCTAATTTTCTTACCATTTTTGCGGTGGTCATAAAATAAACACACTGACTGCAAAGCAAATGTACTGTTTGCTATGGGGCTTTTTTTTTTTGTCCATAACCCGGAAAGAAACACCGGTTTCCCAGCAAAAACCTTCATAAATTGTGGTCACATGACTCTGGGATGCTGGAAGTGGATATAAACGCAGGGCGGTTGCCGAGCATCCAAAATTTGGTCATGCAACCCATCGTAACTTCAAATTGGATTATAGTAGCTTTTGGGGGGGGCGCTGTTGTAACTTTGAATGGTGGTTAAATGGAGGACTTCCTGCCTTTTGCCCAAATGGAAACAAAATGGAGTTCATCCCTGTCCTTTTGGGAACTAACTCTTCCGATCCTCCTGCAGAACATGAAGAGGTTTCCCTGCCGCCAGTGTGACAGATCCTTTGGTGCCTCCAACAGTCTGCACAGACACGTTCGCAATAATCACGACACAGCAAAGAAGCTGTACCCTTGCTGGTGAGTCTGGGAGGGAAGATGTCGTGATTCCGTGCCAGCCTGTGTTCCCAACAGCTGAGTCTGGGGAATCTGAGGAGGAGGTGGAGGAGGCATTTGAAGGGCCGTCAGGGTCAGAGGGAAGGCTCAGATGAATTACAAGACTCACGGTTTGATGCAGAGCCTGGGCCCTCCAGTCGTGTTCCTGATGAAGCTCAGCTGTATGGGGAGAATGAGTCAGACTTAGAGGATTCACACCTGATGGACGTGATGATTGATGCTCGTAGACGCAGGCAATTAGCGAGAGCAGATCAGCAGCAGTCAATACGACAACTCCAGGGGAGGAGGAGGAGAAGGCACTGAGAAGCAACGCCTTGGGACTGCTTTATAAAAAGGGAAGGTATGGGCAGTGCTGGTTGCTGAAGGCAACCGTTGCAAAGTATTTCATGGGATCATGTTCTGTTAGTCTTGCCGGTGACTACTTCTCTGCTTTGTATGGTTTCGTGTGGACAATTTCCTCCATTTGGATTGCGTTTGCTGCTTTTGTTTCTGGACTATTTGGCAGGTTGGTTACCCATATTAAAAGGGGTTTGTTTTCTTTTGAGTCTCCAGCCTATTTTCTCAAAAGGGGTTTTTGTCCTTGTGCCTTTAACAAGGACAGCCATAGGCTGGGATAGAACAGAAGAAATGCTTCTTGCACACTCCCAGGCACGGCGTCACGGGATCATATCTGGTCCTGCCTGTTCGACCGAGGGATCAATTGCTATTTATCTTGGACCGTTTTTCATTTCCAGAAGATCCTGTGATAATATTACAGTGTTTTCATAATAATGGAAGCATTCTAGCTATTTCTGGAGGAACTCTTTTGAGTTCCGTGTGCGCTTGCCCAGTTTCAACAAGAGGGACAGAAGCTGGAGCTATTTCGGCTTAATTTAATGAGCCCTGGTGGTGCAGTGGTTAGAATGCAGTCCTGAAGGCTGAGTCTGCCCACTGCCAGCAGTTCAATCCTGACTGGCTCAAGGTTGACTCAGCCTTCCATCCTTCCAAGATTGGTAAAATGAGGACCCAGATTGTTGGGGGCAATAGGCCAACTCTGTAAACCACTTAGACAGGGCTGTAAAGCACTGTGAGGCAGTATATAAGTCCAAGTGCTATTGCTATTAAATTCAGAACCTATTGCAAGTGAAACATTTTCAGTTTTAGATTTAAGCACTCACCGTTTCAGAAAATAAAATAAAATAAGAATACAAAGGCTGCATCTTTCCATTCAAATTAATCGCAAGGAAAACAAATTCCCAGGAAGCAGGTGGCACTTCAATTAATGGTTTGTATACATACATACGGTACATACATACGTACATACTAGTATATCTTAATTACTTAACAGAAAACAGCTCCTCTAATATAGGGTGTTTTCTGGCAATTATTTCTCTATATTAAAAAGTTGTTCTCCTTGCAGTAAAAGCTGCTTTCCATCACTGATCCCATTTTGTGGTTTTAGTGATCCCTTAATTTATCCTTCCAAATGAGAAGTAAGACTATCTGAAGCCAGTCTTAGAAAACCTATCTTGGCTACAGAAGATTCCAGTTTAAGGAAGGCTCTTCCACATCAAACTGTCACTGCCCACAACTGTTTCTTTGTATTTCTGTATATTTCCTTTTCTGTGTCCTAATGGGATTTCATTCATGTTACTCAGTCTGACTTAATGGGGATTCTTTGCGGAATTAAAGCAATACTAATAATACATCATTTAAACTTGCTTCATTGACAACTGACTAACCCAGAAAAAACAGGGCAAAGTTATGTCTGTGAATGCTGTTTCAGGTTAGAGATCATCCCTGCTAATCTTCCTGTGGAAAGCATTTTAAAATGTTATTTTAACTGAATTACAGATGGGAAGTTGTAAAAAACCTTGCTTTACTTGGTGCATGTGAACAGAACATGCCTTGGCTCATACCTGATCATGTGATTTTAAAGGCCTCCTCTCTGTGGCCTCCTGCATTCCAGCCACATGTTGTTAACAAATGTAAAATTGTCTTTCCCACCAAGACCCCAGACAAAACATGAACCTTCCCATGGCAAAACTTTTGATTTCCCTCTGGAAAAGAAGCTGTTCTTATCAGCTCTGAAGCGGTGATTCAAGGTCACTTTCGGTATCCCTGGAATTCGAGGCTAGCTTCCAAGATACTAGTGGTAAAAACTTTATCTCTAAATGTAAATCTTGAAATCGCAACATTTGCGCTCAAAGACTTTCTCACAAATGAAACTTAGCTCACAAGCTGGTCTGCTGCCAAAGTTGTACAGATGTTCCTCAAGGATGGATTCAGACGATTCAGAATAGATGCAGAGTCAGGGTCCACATACTGGCTTAGTCTTAAGATTTGTTTCCTTGCAGCAAACCGTGTGGTATAAAAGTACTTTCCCTGTCTAGGATTGAGGCAAGGGCGTCACACCCTAAAAAAGGATAACCCTGTAGTCCTGCAATTCACACTGCCATTCCAGAATTCAGAATGTCTGCAGTTTCCCTTTCCAGCATTTGGGAATCAGTTTTGAATCCTTCCTTCTGTTGAGTCTTACGAAGAGAGACTGAAAGAAGAGGATCGAGTCCTGTTCCGTGTGGTCTCAGTCTCAACAACTTTAAGATGTGGGCTGGGAAGGGAAATCCATAAATCTTTTAAAAAGTTGCTAAGAGGTAGAAAAACACTCTTGAGAATTTAGGATGTGGAATAATGGACTGAAAAGGGGGCACAGTGGCTCAGCAGTTAAAGACGCTGAGCTTGTCAGCTGGAAGGCGGACAGCCCAGGTTTGAGACCCGAGCACCGCACGATGGGGTGAGCTCTCATTCCTTGCCTCAGCTCCTGCCCACCTGGCAATTACCAAAAACATGCAAATGTGAGTAGATAAATGGGTACCACTTCGGTGGGAAAGCAACAACATTCCATGCGCCTTTGATGTATAGCCATTCCAGCCCTATAACCACAGAAAATGCCTCCGAACAATGCTGGCTCCCTCAGCTAAGAAAGAGAAAGGAGCACCACACCCTAGAATTGGACACGGCTGTTCAGGGATGCCTTTATCTTTATAAGGGACTGAAGTAATGGGGAGGCAGATTGCAACCAGTTGTTTAGAAAAAGTCTTCCTAACTGCGAAAGGAGTTCAACCTCAGGGCCAAATCCCCAGAAAGATGGTGGATTCTCCTGCTGTCTTCATGCAGAGGCTGGATAGCTGTCAGTCACCAGTGCTCTACTTTGAACTCCTATCTCAGTGGTGCCTCAGTGGTGCCTCTGCCACGTGTGCCAGAGGCGGCACTCGGAGCCCTTTCTGTGGGCACACGCGCCATGCCTGGGAGATGGCAACCATCCCTCTTCAACCAGCCACCTGCTAACTCGCTGAGGTCCCACATGGCTGGATGCATCCCAGCACCCATGCGCTCGCTGGCCTCTGTGTGCGGGGGCCGATGGTGTCAGGCAGCAGCCACCCCGGCCCCTGCCTTGCCTTGCCCTGTGACAATGGCACCCCTGCCCTGCCTCGCCTTGCCTTGCCTCGCCTCACCCTGCAGGACGAGCTTCCTGCCCACCGCCCCACCTGGCAGAGACCCCCTGGATCTCCCCCAACCCTGCCCGGCCCCCACAGGTGTCCCTCCCCACGAGCAACATTGAGGTGATCACGCCCACCTTGGCCACACCTACCCAATCTGCCATGACTACCACAGCCACACCCACCCAGTGGGCCACACCCACCTGGCACCTGGCAATAAATAAGTGGGTTTTGGGTTGCAGTTTGGGCACTCGGTCTCTAAAAGGTTCACCATCACTGTCCTATCTGGATCAGCATAATGGACTTAACGGTCCCCAGATTCCTTCCAACTCTGGGCTTCTGTGAAAATTGGGGTGGGCAAAGCGAAAAGAAGGAGGTGGGACTGAGAAATCCAGTCGTGTTGACAGCATTTCTTTTGTTGGCTATTTTGTAGGTATTGCACAGATGAAATCCAGACATTTCCTCAGCCATCCATGCTGGAGAGTCACATGAGCCTCATGCACGGCATCAAAAATCCAGATCTTTCCCAGATATCCAAAGACTTGACAAAAGTAATCTGCAATGCTTTCGTTAAAATATAGAGGCGGGGTAGTTCTCTATGCTGGGTGTTCCCTCTCGTTTGGAACTGCATTCATTCCAGGAGAGGCCCTATGGTTCCCTTTCCAGGAGGACCGCAGGCCTTTACATGAGATCTAGAGCTACTTTATCTTGTGGCTCTATTGACAGTGCTAACCCTATCAAAAGGTATTTCTTGTACTGTAATGAAAATTCACCTGTTTCTGCAATCATTTGGGTGCAATTTAACTTTAGCCTTAAAAAAAAAAATATCCCTTAGTGCAGTGGTTCTCAACCTTTTTTATGCCGCGACCCCCAACCGCGACCCCCAAGTCGAGGACTACTCAACTGGTGCAGCACCGTTTGCAGAATGGGACTTTTGGCGGGCTCAGCAGGGCAGAGACAGCCTGGACAATTCCTATTGGCTTTTGAAAGCCAATAGAATTAGACTCTATTTAAGAGAGTCTATTCTATTGGCTTTCAAAAGCCAATAGAATAAAAGGGAGTAGCACAACTAAGGAAAAGGGGGAAAAAATGGCAGACTGCATTGTTTGGCGGCCCCCATGAAATGGTCGTTTGACCCCAAATGGGGTCCCGACCCACAGGTTGAGAACCACTGCCTTAATGGAACGTGCCAAGGTATTTGGTTCCAGGCAGAGCCAAAGTAACTAAAGACTGTTACATCTCAAGTAGGGCTGTCTGAAACCCCCTTGCAGTTTAACGTGACCAGCATAAAGGATGCAGTTTTATTTCAAGAGTACCTGCGTTCCATTTTTCTTTTAATTACATGAAAACCCTCCGAGATTGACAAGTGATGACCAGTGATATGAGGAAATATAGCCCGCAGAATCACAGTCCTAGAAAAATTAATCCTTAAGGCATTCTATTGCATCTGACATTGGTTCTCTTCCTAGCAAAGTGCTGGGGGCAGTCATTCAATTAATTATAACTAAGTTCCTTCCCACCCAAAAGGTCGCTGTATTCTAGTTAGTGTCCTCAGAATTGAGAAAACCGTTGAAAATTGTTTTCCATTCAACAGGAGTGCAAATAGAGGTCAATCAAAAAAGCAGGGACTGCTGCACCCATAACAAAATTGTGTACAAAGCCCCCCCTTTTTATTGTCTCCTTGCCACCTGTCTGACTTGTGGATGGATGCAGTAAGAGTAGCGGTCCCCAAGTTTTCTGCCTCCATGGACCGGTGTGCGGCAGTGGTAGGGGGCAGGGGATGGTTTCCCACGTGCCGCCTAGCTCCTGCGCATGTGGAAATGAAGCTTTGCATGCTTGCCCGCCACTTGCACAGCCTGTTTCCCAAACAGGCCATGGACCGGTACCAGTCTATGGCCCAGGGGGGGTTGTGGACCTCTCCATTACAGTGTAAAGCAGGGGTCCCCAACCCCCAGTTTGTGGATCAGTACCGGGCCGCGGCATGCCAGCAACCGGTCCGCATAATGAAGCAAAGCCCCATCCGTGGGATGCAGGCAGCACACAAAATCACACACCCTCTGATCCGCGGAAAAACCTCTCCACGGAACCGGTCCCTGGTGCTCAAAAGATTGGGGACTTCTGGTGTAAAGATACCCATTGAGCAAGCACAGATGGGATAACCTGGGGACCTGTAATTCCTCTCGTTACTCATGGTTTAGGGTGGCGTGGACAGCTTGGTAGTGGCGCATGAGGAGCAGGAGGAAGAGATGTGGTTCTTATTGCTTTAGTGGGTATCGTTTGGATGGCGGGCTGCAGCGGGCATCGCAGATGGTTACAATAAGCGCACGGTTTTGTTTTGCAGACAAAATCTCCAAAGAGAGTAACCGCCGACGGTCTGAGTCCGATGGAAGCGACCGCATCCGGATCAGATGACCCGCCAGCAAAGAAACTGAAGGCAGCCCGCTGGAAATGTGCAAAGTGTAGCTTTGCGACAGCCACCGAGACTGAATTTCTGGAACACATACCTCGACACAAGTCAGACAGTTCCACTTACCAGTGCCTGCTCTGCGGCTTGTGTTACACGTCGCACCTGTCTCTGAACAGGCACCTTTTCATCGTTCATAAAGTCAAAGATCCGGAGGAAGACGAAGAGGAGGAGGAGGAGGAGGAGGATGAACAGCCAGAACAAAAGAGTGCAAAAGAAGTTCCGGAAATGGAGACGAGAGAGAATGGACTGGGGGAAGCCCAGGGCGAGACCAGCCACAGCAGGGCAGGAGACCCTTCCAAGAACAGAGACTCGGAGCGCGACTCCTCGCCCTGCGGCAAAGAGAGAACGAGTTCTCAGAACAAACCCGCAAAGTCTCCCTCTATTTAAGAGCGCGCTCAGCTGCCCCAGAAACCTTGCTTGAAGGAGGGAGGGAGGGAGGAGCTTGTTGATTTGATGGAATGGGCATAGGGTTCAGTTCATTTTGATTAGGAAGGGAAATTGACAAGAAGCACCAGTTGCCACACCGTCTCCCCAGCACTAAATGAGTAACGGAACGGGAAGGAAGAGAGAGAGAGAGAGAGGGAAATTAGAACAGTCTTTCTCAGCCTTGGCTGTTTAAAGAGGAGTGGGCTTCTTCTCCCAGAATTCTGTGCTGGTTGGGGAATTCTTGGAATTGCAGTCCACAGTTCTTAAAGCAGCCAAGGTTGAGAAAGACGGGCATGTAGGATAATCATGCCAGGTTTCCCCCAGCAAAAACGAAGCATTCACCTGCTGCCCAAGATGTTGGCCTATTAGCTCAAGATTTTTAATTAAGAACACAGTCCTTTCTCCCACTCCCTTAGGGCCAGGAGGCCAGGAAACCTCCTGGCTCCACCCCCTGTCACCGACGGTTCTTTCCTTTCAAAACAAAAATCCACCAGGCCTGAAAAATCACCTTTCGGACACTCTGTGGATGTGGTTTTTTGAATCTTGCTTTTTTTCTTTTTCCTAGCAGACACATTTCCAGCACTGCTCAGTGGCAGGTGGAGGGGTTTTTTCTTTTGTTTGTGAGAAAACATTACATCAGGCTCTGCTTAGTCTTGGTTGCAGGTGAAAATCAGTTGCATATCTGTTTGAGCATTTGCCCTCTCCTTGCACATGTACATGCACGCCTGGAAGTAGTGATCACACATGGCAGTGTCCCCCAAGATAACCCTTCTCTCTCTCTCTCTCTCTCTCTCTCTCTCTCTCTCTCTCTCTGTGTGTGTGTGTGTGTGTGTGTGTGTGTGTGTCTCTCTCTCTTTCTCCCTCTTTCTGTCTGTCTCTTTCTCTCTGTGTGTGTCTCTCTGTCTCTGTCTGTGTCTCTCTGTCTCTTTCTGTGTCTCTCTGTCTCTTTCTGTGTCTCTGTCTCTCTGTCTCTCTCTCTCTCTCTCTCTCTCTCTCTCTCTCTCTCTCTCTCTCTCTCTCTCTCTCTCTCTCTCTCTCTCTCTCTCTCTCTCTCTCTCTCAGGACTTTCATAAAAATTGGAGGCACGGATGTTTAAAACCCTGCCCAAGTAAATACTGAACATCTGTGGTTAAGAAAGAATAAGACGGGGAAAAACACATTGAGGCTTGCACTTCTCCATCTTTGGGCAATCTCTTCTTTTCCATGGTTAGTAACCCTTCCTCAGATTGGAGAGCAGCGTTGATCACCCCTTTGGCTATCAACGATCAGAGCTGCTTCCTGTCCTGGATGAAAAGTATTGAGGGCCTGGAGAATTGGCTGGGTTTTATTTTCCTTCCAGTATGATCCCAGAAGATTTTTTTCAGTTGTGATGCAAAAATTGCCGGGCAAAAGAAGCTGGAAGTCTCTCTTCCTCGGGGGTGGGCAACTACAGTGACTTTAGAATCTGTGGACTTCAACTCCCAGAATTCCTGAGCCAGCCTGGCTGGCTCAGGAATTCTGGGAGTTGAAGTCCACAAGTCTTAAAAGTCGCCATACTTGCTCACCCCTCTGCTTGTCAGTTCAGAAAAGGCAAGAATTTGGGGCTGATGAGGTTTATTCCATGAGGAGGGGGGCGGATCAGTCTGGTCCTCCCTCACCTGCACCTGCTCTTCCAAAGCACATCCTTTCCCTCCTCACCCTTTTCCAGTTTTTTTCCTCTCGGTTGCCCCCCCTGCCCCCCACCCCATCGATTGGAGATTGCTTTCCTCCCTTTTAGCATTAACTCTCCCACCTGTGGCTTCCGCCCCATCCCGCCCCATGTGCTTTTTCCTCACGCTTCGTATAATATTTGCTTCTTCTTTTTCTTTTTTTTAAAATACGGTTTTTATGTTTCAAGTCGGAACCCTGCTCATTGTTTACTATAAATAATTTTAAAAAAAGGAAAAAAAAACATACCCTATTTATCATGTTGCCATTTGACTTTGCTCACTTTCTCGTCCGGACGTGTTTTGATAAAAACCCTTTGTATTTTTTGATACCGTGTACATTTTAGTCTAGGGAATGTTTTACAAGGTAGCCTAGCTATAGTAACAATAGCAGGGGGCGGGGAGGACATTCCTCTCAAGCCATGACATATCTATTTAATCTGCAGTGGCATCTGTGCCTTGCTATAATGTTTACTTCAAAGTATTTCAAATAAAACCATCTAACAATGAGTTGGTTCCCAACCTTCCTTTTCTGACCTTGCAGCTCTTCCAAATCCACCATCGGTATCCTTCGGACACGATGCTGGAAATTCATAACGGAGCCCCAAGTAGTTTACCTTGATCTTGCTGCCTGAGGCTGTAATTCAAAATACAGATAGTCCTCGACTTAACAGTTCGTTTAGTGACCGTTCCACGTTACAACGGCACTTGAAATGACGTTTTTCACACGTACGACCGTTGCAGCATCCCTGTGGTCACGTGATCAAAATTCAGATGCTTGCAACCAACTCAGGAGGGTTGCCATGTCCCAGGGTCTTTGGAACCTTCTTACAAGCCATGTCTGTACCAGATTCATTTCACAGCCATATTCCTAACTTAACAGCTGCAGTGATTCACTTCAGAACTGTGACAAGAAAGGCTGTGAAATGGGGCAAAACTCATTTAGCTGCCTTGCTGAGCAACAGGAATTTTGGGCTCCCTTGTCGTTGTACGTTGAGAGCTACCGTACCTTTTTCACAAGAACACCACTGGAAGTAGGGTACCTTCTGCACACTGCATTCATATGGTGGTCAACCACAAATGAATCAATTATATCTTAGCTGATTGTGTTGTGTGAACCCTTGAGCGGACATAATGTGTACATACAATGCAATACAATAACAGTTGGAGGGGAGTTTGGAGGTCATCTAGTCCAGGCAGAAAACTCTACACCATTTCAGACAAATGGTTGTCCAATCTCTTCTTAAAAATTTCCGGTGTTGGAGCATTCACAACTTCTGGAGGCAAATTATTCTACTGGTTAATTGTTCTAGCTGTCAGGAAGTTTCTCCTTAGTTCTAGGTTGCTTCTCTCCTTGGTTAGTTTCCATCCGTTGCTTCTTGTCCTGCCTTCAGGCGCTTTGGAGAACAGCTTGACTCCCTCTTCTTTATGGCAACCCCAGAGATATTGGAACACTGCTATATCACCCCTTGTCCTTCTTTTCATTAAACTACACATACCCAATTCCTGCAACCCTTCCTTATATGTTTTAGCCTCCAGTCCCGATCAACTTTGTTGCTCTTCTCTGCACTCTTTTGAAAGTGTCTCAACTTTTTTTTTTTTACATTGGGGCAACCAAAATTGGATGCAGGATTCCAAGTGTGGCCTTACCAAGGCATTATAAAGTGGTATTAACACTTCATGTGATCCTGTGTTGTGTTGTAGACAAATGAGCAGAGAGAACACTACTTGGTGATCCATCAACTGATTATATTTGCATAGGCATATAAATACTGCTGAAGTATGAAGATGGGGGGGAATAAGTGTAGGACTTGTCACCTCTTAATAACTAAGGTGGTGTCAGGCACCAAGACTAGGTCCACACTTAAATGATTTATTGCTAAAAAGTTAGCACCTTGTTGGAGTTAGATAAGGGTCTAAGATGCTGCCCCTTCTTTCGCCTTCATCTTGCAAAGATTGCAGGAAAACCATGCTGCACAAGAGCAGGTCTGTATTTGGAGGGAAGAGAGGAACTCATTCTTTCAATGAGTTTTCTTTAAAAGCATTAAGTCAAAGAAAACATTTAAAAAAGAAACCCTTCTAACAATTACAGTACACCTTTTCTCACTTGCTCACTTCAAAATACAGCAAAATTGTGTGCCAATCAAATTTCCACCAGCTCTAGAATTAGGCACATAGCATGGGTGGCAAAGTTCCCAAAGTTGAGAAACACAACAATAGATAGATAGATAGATAGATAGATAGATAGATAGATAGATAGATAGATAGATAGATAGATAGATAGATAGATAGATAGATAGATAGATAGATAGATAGATAGATAAGATGATGGATGGATGGATGGATGGATGGGTAGGTGGGTAGGTAGATAGATGATGGGTAGGTAGGTGGGTAGGTAGATAGATGGATGGATGGATGGATGGATGTCAGAGGCAATGGCAGACGACTTTCCAGTTCTAGCTAATAAGTCTCTTCTTGGAAGTCTCCAAGACTCAACTCTATTGTTCAAAAGACATTGTCGCCTTTAATTTAAGACCTTTGAACGGGATTCCTTAAGGATTTGCAGGGGAATTTTACTGCATTGCAACAAAGCACGACAGATGCGCCTAGAAATCTGAAAAAAAAAAAAAACCTGAAAACCTGCCTTTCATCTAAAATCTGATTTTCAGACTGGAGGCAAAAAAAAAAAAAAAAAAAAAAAAACCGGGAGGACTCCGCATCACGCCTGCTTAGCAAAACGCCGCTCTTTCCCCCGCCTACGCTCTACTGGGCGGGCAGAACCGGAAGTGACGTCCTTCCCCGTCCTCTTAACAGGGCTCGTTCGGGCTAGTCTAGGATCTCTATGTTTCCCTCCTTTCTCCCCCATCGCCACCGCTACCAGCTTGGCCGGATATTGATGTCGGCGGCCGGAAGCGGAAGTGTGAGACGGTCGGGTCTCCCGGCCGCAGCCTCCTCGCTCGCTGGGATGCTGTCCTTGGACTTTCTGGACGATGTTCGGCGGATGAATAAGCGGCAGGTTCGCGGGGGCGCCGGGCGGGGGCAAAAGGGGGCGGGGGTCGGTCCCCACGCGCGCGCACCTCTGTGTGTGTGTGTGTGTCCAGTTGGGTTTGTAAAACGGGTGTGTGCATGGTGGGTAGGTCACGTGACCCAGCGGAGACTGCTTCCCCCCCCCCTGCTGCAAAGCGCAGCCCGACCTCCTTCCAGCAACGTTGCACTACAGATCCCATCCTCCCCAGCAGATGTGCCCGTGGGTCCAGTAGTGCGGAAGGTCCAGGTCCCGTGCAACGTCCTAGGATGGCGCAAAGGGGCCAAAGGAAACGAATGGAAGGGGCTGATCATTCTGCTATAATGTGTGTGTGTGTGTGTGTGTGTAATATGTCCCTTGCCTTGGCTTATGTTATACAGCGGTTCCCAACCTTTTCCATACCCCACACCCCTAGAAGGCGCAAAGGGGCCAAAGGAAACCAATGGAAGGGCTGATCATTCTGCTATACTGTGTGTGTGTGTGAGAGAGAGAGAAATATGTCCCTTGCCTTGGCTTATGTTGTTATACAGCGGTTCCCAACCTTTTCCATACCCCGCACCCCTAGAACACTTCTGATATATTCTCACACCCCTTACCAAAGTTCCTTCCGTTATATATTCAAGATGGACAGTGTTTAATATTTATTTGTTATGGATATGTAGGGGTGTGGGTCTATACATACGTTGTATATCGTATGTTTAGGTGTGTGTCATGTATGTGATTCACTTTGAGAGCGGGCAACTCAATTTCATTTTTGATGTGTGCCCTTGTGCCCACAGTAAAAAAAAATGACAATAAATGTTATCTCTTATCAAAATAACCGCAATGAATTATGCATATACACTATAATTTTGAAAAACCAAGTTTTTGCACCCCTGGAATATCATCTCGCACCCCTGGTTGGGGAACCCCTGTTATTATATATATATATATATATATTATTGTAAAAAAGAGGCAACAATGTAATATTGTGGTTAACGTGTCTGTGAGTGCTATTGGGGAGCTTGAATTGCGCAGCAAAAAGAACAGGCAGGCTGGTGAACCTGGATGGGAAGGAGACGGATAACAGAAACCAGAGGCTTATCGCCCTTCTGATCCAGATTTTGCCAAAAGAAATTTTCTTTAAGCCTGCCTTCGTTATGTGGGATTCAAGGCAGTGAACATACCTGTCTAATGCTCCAGCCACCTCATTTCTTCACAAAGGCAACCCTGTGGTTTGGGCTGATGGAGAGGGCTGGCCCAAAGTCACCCAGCTGGCTTTTGTACCTATGGAGGAACTAGAATTCACTGTCTCCTAATGGTTGACCCAAAGTCACCTAGCTGACTTTACTGGCTAAGGTGGAACTAGAACTCCCAAACTCCTGGTGACTGGCCCGAAGTCACCCAGCCAGCTTTCATGCCTAAAGCAGAACTAGAATTACGAGTCTCCTGGTGATTGACCCAGAGTCACCTAGCCAACTTTACTGGCTAAGGCAGAACTAGAACTCCCAGACACCTGGTGACTGGCCCAAAATCACCTAGCTGACTTTACTGGCTAAGATGGAACTAGAACTCCCAAACTCCTGGTGACTGGCCCGAAGTCACCCAGCCAGCTTTCATGCCTAAAGCAGAACTAGAATTACAAGTCTCCTGGTGATTGGCCCAAAGTCACCCAGCCAGTTTTCATGCCTAAGGTGGGACTACAACACACTTGGTTTCTAGCTATACTTAAGAAATCGACTAAAATACATCCTGTCTGCTTGTAATCCCCAGTGGAACTATTGACTGTGGTAAGACTTCTAAATTGGTGGCTTGTCATTTGAAAGGGTGGAGGCATTGCCTTTGAAGATGTGCCCAAATTAGCGCGCCCTGCAAGCGGAGGGGGTGGGGTCTTTGTGTTTTGCAAAGGACTATCTCGAGTTCTCAGTGATAATCCCTCTCCCTTCCCAGCTGTATTATCAGGTTCTGAACTTTGGAATGATTGTTTCCTCGGCGCTGATGATCTGGAAGGGGTTGATGGTGGCAACGGGCAGCGAGAGTCCCATCGTTGTTGTACTTAGGTAAAATCATTCTGGTAATCTGGGGCTCAACCAATCCTACTGTGAGATTAGGAAGGAAGAGGCAGCCGTGATAACTTGGGGGGAATGTGACTTCTGCTAACATAATGTGATCTTTGAACAAGTGTTATCTTGACAAAAGGGCAGAGTTTAGGTTTAGAGCTTGTCTTGACTGGTTTATAGATTCTACTTGAGTTACGATGCCATTCTTCTGTCAGAGAATCTGCTTTCAAATACAAGTGAGACTACAGAGAAGAGCAACAAAGATGATTAGGCGACTGGAAGCTAAAACATATCAAGAACAGATGCTGGAATTGGGTATGTCTAGTTTAATGAAGAGAAGGACAAGGGGGGATAGGATAGCAGTCTTCCAGTATCTCAGGAGCTGCCCCAAAGAAGAGGGAGTCAAACTCTTCTCCAAAGCACCTGAAGGCAGGACAAGAAGCAACGGATGGAAACTAATCAAGGAGAGAAGCAACCTAGAACTAAGGAGAAATTTCCTAACAGTACGAACAATTAACCAGCAAAACAACCTGCATCCAGAAGTAGTGAATGCTCCAACACTGGAAGTTTTTAAGAAGAGACTGGACAGCCATTTGTCTGAAATGGTATAAGATTTCCTGCCTGAGCAGGGGGTTAGACTAGATGACCTCCAAGATCCCTTCCAACTTTATTATTATTATTAAGTATCTTCGGCTTATGAGCACAACTGAGGCCAGAATCTCCTCTGCTAATCAAGGTGGGGGTTAGCGAATTGTGCCTTCTTTTTATGATGATTTTATGCCATAGTTGTTAAGTAAATCACTGCAATCCTTAAGCGAATAATCCCGTCATTAAATGAATCAAGGCTTCTCCTGTTGACTTTCCTTTTTGGAAAGCCGGCTGGGAAGATTGCAAATGGCAATCAGGTGAAAATTTAGGATGTTGCCACTGTTGTAAATACTGGCCGGTTTGCCCAGATCCAAATTTTGATCCTGTCACGATTGTGTGAAGACCATTCACAGTTTGCTTTTTTTTTTTTTTTTCCCTGTGCTGCCGCAACTTCGAACAACCACTAACCGGAGGATTGTAAGTTGAGGACTCTCTGAATTGACTGAATAATCAGTACAAAGCTGATGGTTTTCCATGTATTCTGAGCAAAAATAATATCTGTGGATAGCTGCCTCTGCTAGCCTTACAGGGACAATGACATAATTACATTGTACAGATTATATCCTCTAAAAACCTATGTGCATTCAGCACAAAACCCCGTACTGCCCCCCCCTTTTTTTTCTTTTTTTTAAAGAAATGAAAAGATAAGATACTCCTTTACCTTGCATCTGAGTTGACATGACATCAGAGAGAAAAACAGATGGGGAAGAATAGAAAAGAAAGCATTTATTTGCAAGCTTGAAACGGAGGTGTGGGGGAGGGCTGTTAGGGAGTACGAAATGAGCAAGCAGAACTGCCAGAAAGATCTGTTGTGGAAGGCAGCTGGCGGGGAAGACAGAAAGACACAATCCGTGTGCAACATCTTGGCGCCTACGGCACAGAGTGTGCTACACGCGTCTGTGCCAGAAAAATCAGAAGGCAGCCTTCTTGTCTAACTGCGCTGGGAAATGGACCCAGGGCACCTTCCTACTGTTTCTTCCACTTTGCATGATTTAGAACTTTAAGCCTCTCAGCTTCTCCCTGCAAGAGAACCTCCAAAGCACTCTGGGTTTCCAGTTTTTGATTCTTTGAGACTTCGGCTTCCCATTGCTTGGGGGCTATCCCATCATGACTACTAATCAGGGTGAACCTGGCTGAAATAGGGAAAAGCGCCTCTTTAATGCAGGAGCCAATAAATATGGTGCATTGGAAGGGGAAATCGGAAGTTTAAAGTAGGTGCCTTAAGCACAAGGCTGAAACGTCCATTTTGCATCTAAAAATCTAAAGAAAAGAACCCAGCAAGGCCAGTCATTCAATGGGACGGTAACAGCTGTCTGTCCCCAGTGGCATTTTTAGATCCCATTGCATCTGGCAAGAGAAGCATGCTCTGGGTCTCCTCCATGAAAGATGCCACTCCCTGGAACATCATCCCCTCTCCCCAGAGATCAGACTTCCCCCAACGTAGAATTTTAAAGATAAAATGTGCAAGAATTTTTGGAAAGCATGCAAAGATTCTTGATCCAGTGAGGTTCCCAGGGTAATCAGGAGTGGATCGTTTTATATACATACATACATACATACATGTAGGTCTTTGGTCATTCGGGTTTTCTCCCGCGTCAAATTGGAAGTGTCTTGGCGACATTTCGACGAAGTCTCATTCGTCATCTTCAGGCTGGTGTTTTCGGCTTCATACCCCCACTGGCAGTTAAAAGGAAGAAACAGCTAAGACCACACATTGCTCCTCGAAGCACGAAGCTGAAAACACCAGCCTGAAGATGACGAATGGGACTTCGTCGAAACGTCGCCAAGACACTTCCAATTTTACGCGGGAGAAAACCCAAACAACCAAAGACCTACATACAAATACCCGCGAAAACCTCAGAAAACATATATATATATATATATATATATATATATATATATATATATATATATATATATATACACACACACACACACACACACACACACACACACACACATATTCTCTTGGTGATCATTGTTTTAATAGTATGGATATTCCCAAGAGTCATATTTTTACTTTTATTTTTAATATATATATAAAACTGACAGGGCTAATCCCACCTGAAGGCAAAAGACAGCCCTTGAGGTACTTTCATTAACTGATGCTTTTGTCTTCCAGTGGCAGCATGGAACCTGCATTTCACAGAGGAGACCTCCTGTTCTTGACCAACCATGTTGAAGAGCCGATCAGAGTGGGAGAAATCGTGGTCTTTAGGATAGAAGGAAGGGAAATTCCAATTGTGCATCGGGTCCTGAAAATCCACGAAAAGTACGTCTCGGGTTTCGGATGGGTGATAGTCGCAGACGTCTGCGGTTATGTCAGTTTTCACTGTGTCTGTCGAGGTACGAAACCTCCTGTCTTTAGGACCGCTGCAATGCTTCTAGCTTGTCTACAGTGTGTGTGTGGGGGGGGAGAATGGGGAAAGAGGGGAGAGTTTTGGATCCACAGGTGTTCCTGATCGACGTGAGAAGCTGAAGCCGTTGAGTTGTTTTGGCGAACTAAAGTTTATTCTCATAATTACTGGAAGATATATTGGACAGTGTGACATGGACTGTCAGAGAGGGGAGGGAAAACTTCATTCTTTTAATTAGGCCAGTGGTTCTCAACCTTTTTAATGCCGCGACCCCCAACCGGTCATAAGTCGAGGACTACTCAACCGGTCGTAAGTCGAGGACTACTCAACTGGTGCAGCACCGTTTGCAGAATGGGACTTTTGGCGGGCTCAGCAGGCAGAGACAGCCTGGACAATTTCTATTGGCTTTTGAAAGCCAATAGAATTAGACTCTATTCAAGAGAGTCTATTCTATTGGCTTTCAAAAGCCAATAGAATAACAGGGAGTAGCACAGCTAAGGAAAAGGGGGGGAAAATGGCAGACTGCATTGTTTGGCGACCCCCGTGAAATGGTCGTTCGACCCCAAATGGGGTCCCGACCCACAGGTTGAGAACCGCTGAATTAGGCTTAACTTTGTGGAAGGAAAAAGAGGGGGAATCCCAGGCATCCACCCTCTCACAAACCACCTATAGCAGGGGTCCCCAATCCCCGGTCCGTGGACCGGTACTGGGCTGCAACATGCCAGCAACCGGCCTGCACAAACAAGCAAAGCCCCATCCGTGGGATGCAGGCAGCGCACAAAACCACACGCTCTCCAGTCTGTGGGAAAACCTCTATCCGTGGAACCGGTCCCTGGTGTCCAAAAGGTTGGGGATCTGTGGTCTACAACACTCAGAAGAAGAAACCAGTTTAAAAGCTTGAGGCTGCCTACTGATGTAAGGTGACATATTCACTTGGCATCTTCGTTCCTCCTCACGATGTGATTGCGTTCTGCTTTGCCCACTCGTGAATTGTGCTCTTTTTTCCCCCTGGGCCAGACAAAATGGCGACATCAAGTTTTTGACCAAAGGCGACAACAATGCAGTTGATGATCGAGGCTTGTACAGACAAGGGCAACACTGGCTGGAGAAGAAAGATGTGGTTGGAAGAGCGAGAGGGTGAGTGGGCATTGTAAAATGGCCATGCCTTCCTACGCGTAACCGCCGTCTGCGGAATTCAGTCCTGTCCCCTGCCATTAGTTATTATCTTCCTGTTTTCCTAAAAGTGCTTTTTCAAAAGACAGCTGGACTTTCCTGGGGGGGGGGGAGGTTCCACTTGAAAACATTTCACTTCTCATCCCAGAAGCTTCTTCAGTTCTCACTGATTGGTGGGGGAATGGAAGGATTTATATTCTTTGGAGTCATAGGATCATTAGCACTCTGAAGATTGGTTTTCAAGGGGGGGGGGAAACCCAAGAAAGTTCTGTTGCCTTTTGAAAAGCACCGTTTGGATAACCACGACCTGGATCAGGGGTAGGCAACCTTGGCTCTTTTATGACTCGTGGACCAACTCCCAGAATTCCTGAGCCAGCCATGCTGAGGGGAAAGGAAGAGATTTCCAAGCTGAGCCATACTGGCTCAGGAAATCTGGGAGTTGAAGTCCATGAGTCATAAAAGAGCCAAGGTTGCCTACCCCTGACCTGGATGATTGAGACTCTTGATAGACATCTCCCTCTGATTGTTTCTGCGCATTTCCAAGATTGGAAAGTTGTTATTCCTGGAAACTTTGATTTTACCCATCAGTTTTCTTCATAAAGCCTGCTTTCCTTTTGAGTCTTGGTTGTGGATAAATTAGGTCTTCTGGTTTTGGGCTGCATTGTTTCTGAGTTTCCATGAGGGTCTTTTTTAAACCTGCATGTGGGGAAGAAGGAGGCAACCCACTGTTTATCAAAAGTCCTATATCTGTTGCTTTTTTGTTTCCTGGCTATCAATAAGGCCAGGAAGCTTCAGCCAATATAGTATCTAAAGAGGATAACTTTGTTTCTGATTTAGGTTTGTGCCATACATTGGAATAGTAACCATCCTAATGAACGATTACCCTAAATTCAAGGTAGGACTTTTTGCTCATTTACTCTCTAGAGGTGACACAGTGCATTGGTAAAACAAAACCACCATTCAGACAATACATGGAGACAGGTGGGTTCAGGGTCTCTCTCAGATTTCTGGCTGAAATCTAAGGTCCCAAGCCACATTCAAGCAGGCAGCTGACTATCAATGATGGTTTGGTGCAAAGGACTACCACTTCTGGCCTTTCCAGGTTTTGGAATTTTGTTTGGTTTGGGAACATAGATTGGAGGTTGAGAAAAGCCAGAGAACATTTTTAAAAAAAAAAAACAAAAAACCACTTAAAAAAAAGTACATAAGGCACTTAAAAAAAAAGTACATAAGGCACACCAAATTTTCTGAAGTTTAAACATTAAAAAAAACACTTTAAAAAAAAAAAAGTAGACAAGGCACACCAAACCCCCATAACATTTTTTTTCTCAAGTTTAAACTCTTCCAGGACGGAGGCATGTTTTAACCATCAGTCTTGCATTGTTTAAAGTTTGCCGTCACTATTTGCGTCCGTCCATTCTACAAAACCACCTTTGGTTCCTTTCATTTCGTCTCAGCCGATTGTGTGAACCACGCATTCTAGTTTGCACATTGCTTACGCGCTAGCAGTGTGCTGAAGCCAACCTCTGGGGGCTTATTCTAGAAACCTTGCTTAAAAGATTAAAAGAGAGCAGGATGCGAACCTATCCATGGAGGTGGCAAGCATGTGCCTAAATTTGTGCCATTTGGCATGTTTTATGATTTTTGCCTTCATGCCTAAGGTGGGACTAGTCCAGGGCTTTTCAACCTTTTCACCCATTGTACCACTTTTAGGATATGGCAACATCCAAGTGCCACCAGTCGCCTAGCAAGTTGTCAAAAACCTGATGACTAAAAAAAAAAAAAAGGGAAAAAAGTGATGAAGTACAGGTAGTCCTCGGCTTACAACAGTTCGCTTAGTGATTGTTCGAAGTTACAATGGCACTGAAAAATGTGCCCCCCAAGCCACAGCCGAGTAAGATACCTGCCTGCCCGCCTGACCGTGCTCTTCCTCCTATCCAAGGTTTTCATTGTTGTGAGCATTTCTGTTGAGCATTGGGGGTGGGGTGGGGATGTGTTTGGTTTTTATTCCCCCCCCCCCCCGTCTGCTGGGTGGTTGCAGCAGGTTTTGGTCACTTCACCTGACCCTGGGAAACTGTGACTGTCATAAATATGAATCAGTTGCCAGGCATCTGAATGTAAATCACAAGACCCTGGAGATGCTGCAACATTCCAGCTGATTGGTGCTTCTTCGGGGCTCAGCAGAAGCGCCAGGATCAGCGCCGAGCTCCAGCTGGAGCCTGGCACTGATCCTGGTGCTTCCGCTGAGCCCTGACAGTCCCGAAGAAGCACTAATCCTGGCACTTCCACTGAGCCCTGAGAGCCCTGCAGCTCCAGCCATCTCTCGCTCAGGCTTGTGCGGTGCTGCCACCAGTTCAGCTCATTCCCCTCCCCTGCTACCCCTTTTCTAGGATGGTTGCGTACCACCTGCCAGCTGCCAATGTACCACAGGTGGTACCCGTACCACTGGTTGAAAAGCCCTGGACTAGAACTCACGGTGAAATTCCTGCACTGCATGTCTAGCAATGTGGGCGGATGCTTCAGGTATTTCTGTCTTCTTTTCTCCCCACCAGTACACTGTCCTTTTTCTCCTGGGCTTATTTGTCCTCGTCCATCGAGAATAGACCCTCACCGGTGGAGGCGTGGATCACCCCTCCAAGTAGACCGGGATGTGAAGTGTGTCCATTTCGCTGCTTCTTAATCCGAGTTGGATTTTGGCATTTTCGTTTTCTACGACTGCTGTGTCACGGGCAGGTTAATCTCAGTATTTTGAAGAGTTTGTCACACTTTAGCCTTTTTGTACATCGGTGAATTTTTATATTAAAAACATTTTAAACCAAAGCCTTTTGCCTTTTTTTTCCAAGCTTCCGGGATAATTATTTTTTTTTTCCAGCTGACTCCGTTGAAAAGGATGAAAATCTGATTCTGGTTAATGGCTGGAGATGCTCCCAGAGAAGAGCTGTTTTCTTCCAAATAAGAATTGAGTCATCTTAGGACCAGCGAATCACAACTATAAATCCCAGTTTTAAAATGAGAGGCATCCGGCACCTCTCCAGTTTTGAGTGGAGAGGCCTGGGAGCTAATGCTGGATTTTGCACATTCAAAATGTTGGCTTTTTAATTTTAGTATGAACCTGCTAAAGAAGAGCGGTGGTGGCACAGTGGTTAGAATGCGGTATTGCAGGCTGACTCTGCTCACTGCCAGCAGTTCGATTCTCACCAGCTCAAGGTTGACTCAGCCTTCCGTCCTTCCGAGGTCAGTAAAATGGATTGTTGGGAGGCAACAGGCTGACTTTAAACTGCTTAGAGAAGGCTGTAAATCACTGTGAAGCGATATATAAGGCTAAGTACTATTCCTTCCTTCCTTCCCTTATTTCCTTCCCTCCATCATTTCCTTCCTTCCCTCCATCATGTTCCTTCCTCATTTCCTTCCTTCCCTGTGCAGTATTACAGGCTAACTTTGCCAACTGTCAGCAGTTTGATTCTCACCAGCTCAAGTTGACTCAGCCTTCCATCCTTCCGAGGTTGGTAAAATGAGGACCCAGATTGTTAGGGGCAAAAGGCTGATTCTGTAAACAGCTTAGAGAGGGCCATGAAACACTGTGAAGCTGTATATAAGTCTTAAGTGCTATTGCCATGTTGGAGACCAGGTACCCACATGGTCTGCTACGACAAGGAAGAGCCAATGCATTGGGCCTCGGAAAATGTATTTATTAAATTTATATGCCATCCTTCTTGCCATCAGGTGATTCTAGACCAGTGGTTCTCAACCTTTTTAATGCCGCGACCCCCCAACCGGTCATAAGTCGAGGACTACTCAACCGGTCGTAAGTCGAGGACTATTCAACTGGTGCAGCACCGTTTGCAGAATGGGACTTTTGGCGGGCTCAGCAGGGCAGAGACAGCCTGGACAATTCCGATCGGCTTTTGAAAGCCAATAGAATTAGACTCTATTCAAAAGCCAATTGAATAAAAGAGAGTAGCACAGCTAAGGAAAAGGGGGGGGGGGGAAATGGCGGACTGTGTTGTTTGGCGACCCCTGTGAAATGGTTGTTCGACCCCAAATGGGGTCCCGACCCACAGGTTGAGAACCACTGTTCTAGACAGTTTACCACAAAGTATTAACAGCAGCATAAAACATCAAAATATTAAGATAGTAATATTAAAAACAGGTGGCTAAGGGAGGGGGCAAAATACAGACAGGATGGAAATAGGATCTTCTCTCCACCTATTAACCACACACACAGACACACACCCATCGGGATCCCAACCCAACTGGCAGATGTCAAACCCCACCCCTGCGAAAGAGGATGGGTGCAGATCTCACCTTGAGGGGCACAATGTTCTAGAGCAGGGGTCTTCAAACTTGGCAACTTCAAGACTCGTGGATTTCAACTCCCAGAATTCCTCAGCCAGCCAATTCTGGGAGTTGAAGTCCACAAGTCTTAAAAGTTGCCAAGTTTGAAGAGCCCTGTTCTAGAGGGTAGGAGCCACAGCAGGAAAGGCTTTTCTGGACCCCGTCAGCTGGATTCTTAAGCAACAGGCTCCCTTCTTCCAGCAAGTATGGGGCAGGGTCAATGCCATTGGGATGAGATGGTTCAGGATCAAAGCATCCTAGCTGTTCTCGCCGCATTTTAGCTTGGGTGATTAATCTCTAATGCAGTTTTTTTTTTCTTACCACCTCCGCTGTTAGCAAAGCCGCTGCAAAACACATTCCTGTGGGTGGCTTAATTTTATCCAATTGTGACTCTGCCACTGAGGAGGCCGTCAAGACAGCAGTTGCTGCTTCGTCAAAAGAGGCATAACTGGGTCACGGCGGAAATCCTGGTGAATTGACTCGGCCACCTAACCAGGGACCTTCTCTTTGGGATCGGTTGAATAAATTCCACCTGTAAGATAACCTGGCGCCGATCCTCACAGCTGACAATCAAGAGGACGTGCTCGGACTTCGGTTTTATGCTTCCGACAAGCTTGCGGAGTCGGCTGGTTAGAGCAGGGCTTTTCCACCAGTGGTACGGGTAGCACCTGTGGTACATTGGCACCTGGCTGGTGGTACGCGACCCTCCTAGAAAAGTAGCAGGGGAGGGGGATGAGCTGAACCGGTGGCAGCCCCGCACAAGCCTGAGCGAGAGATGGCTGGAGCTGCAGGGCTGTCGGGGCTCAGTGGAAGCGCCAGGATCAGCGCCAGGCTCCAGCTGGAGCTCGGCACTGATCCTGGCACTTCTGCTGAGCCCAGAAGAAGCGCCAATCAGCTGGAATGTTGCAGCATCTCCAGGGTCTTGTGTATAAATTTATTTTACTTTTTATCTGAAGTACTTTGTAATAGTGTAATGAAAAATGGAAAATAAAAACTTTTTACAAAAAAAAAAAGAAGTACCAATCAGCTGGAAAGCAGCAATGATCCTGGCGCTTCTGCTGAGCCCAGAAGAAGCGCCGATCAGCTGGAATGTTGCAGCCTCTCCAGGGTCTTGTGATTTACATTCAGATGCTTGGCCACTGATTCATATTTATGACAGTCACAGTGTCCCCGGGTCATGCGAAGTGGCCAAAACCTGCTGCAACCACCCAGCAGACGGGGGGGGGAGGAATAAAAACCAAACACCCCCTCACCCCCCCACTTGGTCATCAAGTTTTTGACACTTTGCAGAGAGGCTGCCTTTTGCGTCTTTGTTTTTTTTTTTTTTTTTTTTTTTTTGTCTTAGTTCCAATGCAGATGTTGCTAATCAACACCTTTGCAGCACTGAATGGAAAAGCTGCTATTGTTTTATACAGAAAGAGGGACAGCTAATTGCTGTGAAGAGAGGTGTTACCCCTCAAAAAAGGACTAAATAAAACACTTCTTTCCCCCCACATCTTTCCACACCCATTTTGTTTCTAAGTGACAGGATTTCAGAAAGAGCCAAAAGAGAGTACGTTCGGCCCAAACGGAGGGAGTCTCTTGCAGAGGTACGGTTAGTCCTCCACTTACGACCACAAGGGAGCCCCAAATTTCAGTTGTTAAGTGAGTTTGGCCCCATTTTACGAGCTTTCTTGCCACCGTTGGTAAGTGAGGCCCTGCAGCTGGTAAGTGAGTCACGCGGTCGTTAAATGAATCCAGTTTCCCCCGTTGACTTGACTTGTTGGAAGGTCGCCAAAGGGGATCACGTGACCCTGGGATACTGCGACCGTCATAAATATGAGTCGGTTGCAAAGTGTCTGAATTTTGATCACATGACCATGGAGATGCTGCAACGGTCGTATGCTGCAACGGTTTCTTTTATCAGTGCCGTTGTAGCTTTGAACGGTCACTAAATGAACTGTTGTAAATTGAAGAGTACCTACACTTTGTTGGTTTTTTTGCATCCTTTAGCCTCCGAAATGTTTACAGGGATGCTGGAAGTTGGATGCCAATAACTGGGGTCCCTTCCTTCCGCCCCCCTGCACCTCCTGCCTCTAATCCTCCAAAAGGCTTGGCCCTCTTTGACACTAGCTAAGCCACTTCCGACAGCTAAACCCCCTCCACAAACACCCCCCCCCCAATCACACAGGCCTTTAATCCTCTTCTGCACCCTGCAAGCCCACACACAACCTAATCCCAAATTTGAACAATCCGTGGCTTCCAGAGCACAGTTTTAAGAATGGATTACGCCATCTCGCGTTGCTAGATCTTTGTGCAATTTGGCAGCTTTTTCAATTCAGAGGGAGGTATGTTCTTGAAGACAATAGCCTGCCCCAGGCACCACCTCTGAAGCCTAATGTGGAATTTAAATTATTTAATGGCCTGGAAAGGGCACTCCTAGAAGAAGCCTACTCTAACGTTATCCACTGTGAAGAGGCTGCCAAAATAGGAACAGAGGTCAAAAGCTGTCTTCAGCATATCAAGAGGATGAACAAAGTGGTTTGTAGCCAGAAGAATTCATGATTTAGGACAGTTTTCGCAGGTCGGACCGTATTAATTGGTTGTGGCCAAAACAATGAAGTAATTTGTGACATACTTTAAGGGGAATGTGTGTCAATGCTGCTAACATTGGATGTTTCTGCACTGACAACAACAAATGGAGATGTAGGCATCTTTTACCTTTTGCTTTTAGTTTAGAGTTAGATGATTGCTGGGAGGGGGGATGTGAACGAGAGTCCAGCTAGACATAATATCATCAGACCTAGCGTGAGAAGCAAGGTTATTGTAACCAGAGCTGATAAGGAAATGGCTGGCTGGAGAACAGGACAGGAGGTCCCGAACTTCAAGCTAATTGGGGAATGTGATTTATGACTGTCAATTGAAGGAGGGAATTGTGCTTTGATACTATGTGCCCAGGGGAGGGGAATTCAGGTTTTGGCTTCGATTATGTTAGTGCCAATGTTACGCTTCTCAAATAAAGATTCTTTAAGGTAAACAATGTCTCGAAGTTCTTTTGAAGAGTTTCATCTATCGGAACCATGACAATGTGTTTATTACAGCACAGAGCATAGAATCACAGGGCCTGACGGGACCTGAGGGGGGTCTTCTAGTCCAAAATAGCAGGAGCTTTATGCCATCCCAGTCAAGTGCTTGTCCAGTCTATTTTTGAAAAGCTCCAAATACCAGATGTTTTCATGGTGAGGAGTTATTGATGCCCCCTGGCAAGAATTAAATGTCCCTTGATTTAGGGAGCTATAGGTGGACCCATCAAGATTTTCTGCCTGGCCCCAGTCTATAAAAGGAGAGATGGTATGAGATAGGACTAGTTTTTTTCCCTGGGTGAACATTCCCCTACTTCCAGGCATCAGTCTTCAAGATATGTTCAAGCATCCAGCTTAGACTCAATCTTTTGAGCAGGACTTTCCTTGGGGTTTTGGGTTCCAGAGTGCCATTTATAGGGCAATTTCAAATCAAGGGGCTAATTTGGAAAAAGGTCTTGGCTATTTAGTCCTCTTCCATCTCCCTGGTTGCTCCGTGTGCACTCAAAGTCTTTCTGATCCTTTGTTGATGCCAAGATTAAGCCTCAACGTTTATAAGGGAGTCAAATTTTGGAGAGTGGTGATCAACTATTGTTTAGACATCCCTTCCCTTCTTTTCTCTCTCCTTCCTCTCTTCCTTCTTCCCTCCTTCTCTTTCTTTCTCATTCCTCCCTTCTTTTCTCCTCCTTTCCTTCTTCCCTCCCTCCTTCCCTCCCTTTCTCTCTCCTTCCATCCTCCCTTCTTTCCTCCTCCCTTTTTCTCTCCTCCCTTCCCCTTCCCTTCCTTTCTGCTTCCTTCTTCCCTCTTTCCCTTCCTTTCTTTTCTCTTTCTTCCCTCCCTCCTTCCCTCCCTTTTTCTCCCTTCCTCCCTTCTTCCCTCCTTCCTTTTTCTCTCCTTCCTTCCCCTTCCCTTCCTTTCTGCTTCCTTCTTCCCTCTTTCCCTTCCTTTCTTTTCTCTTTCTTCCCTCCCTCCTTCCCTCCCTTTTTCTCCCTTCCTCCCTTCTTCCCTCCTTCCTTTTTCTCTCCTTCCTTCCCCATTCCTTTTCTTTTTCTCCCCTTCCTCCCTCCCTTCTTTCCTCCTTCCCTTCTCTCTCTTCTTTCCTTCTCTTCCTTCCCTTCTCTCCCTTTCCTTCCTCCCTCCCTCCTTCCCTTCCCTTCCCTTCCCCCCCCCAGGCTCCTTTTGAAGCTCCACCGGTCATTGCGGACGATCTTAGCCGTCCACTCAAAGACGTCGCCGGGCCACCGTGCTGCGCTCCAGTCCCCGCCCCTGCTGCCCGGCTACTTAAAGCGGGGACGGGGTTCGCGGGAGGAGACGGCGACGACCCAAGACGGGCTGGGGAAAGCAGGGCAGGAAGGCGCCCCCCGGTGGCAAGACGAAACCCAGCAGGCCGTCCCTCCGTCGAGTCGCGATGGCCAGAGGCAGACCGGCCAAAGGCCGGCGCCTGCGGGTGGGCGGCGTGGCTCTCCTCATCCTCTTCTCCGCCCTCTCCGTCTCGCCTTCGCCCGTCGAGAGGAGGAACGGGCCCGTCCGGCTCAGGGAGAACCTGTGGGCCACAGGTAGGGCGCCGGCTACTTCCGACGGGGGTCCCCGTCCCCCAGAGGGGAAGCTCCGTGGAAGCGCCCCGGACCCCTCGGAAGAGCCGCGCAGCCCCGGGCTTGAGGCGAGGGGGGCCGGCAGCGCCAACAGCCCCCTGCCCTCAACCGCCTCGGGGGTCCAGCCGCGCTGGTAGGAGGTGGGGGGGGGCTCTTTGAGATCAGCCGGGCGCCCCTAAATCCCAAAGAACCTCTCCAGAGAAACAGGAAAAGGACTGGGTGGTCACAGCCCTTTAGGAACCCCTATGGCTAACTTGGAGGGCTGTGGGGGGGGCGGCGTAGGCGGAAAAAGTAGGGCACCAATTTGAGCAGCCTCGCAGCCTTCCTTGCGCTTCTGCGGCTAATCGGGCGGCGAAGCTGCTTTTTCCTCTCTTTCAGGGGTTTGGCACCCTTTCGTCTTCCTTAAGAGTGCCCGGAGACGGTGCTCCATTTAATGCCTGCATCGCTACACGTTGGGGGTGGGTGGGGGTGGGAACGGCGTTGTTAAAAGCGCCACAACGACGAGGGAAGGTTCCCTTCAGCACCTGGAGAGGGACAGCTCCGCCAACAGCCTCGCCTTTCCGAGGGCAAAACTAATGGGATTATTGCCTGAGGTCTGCGGGGTAGCGATGGCTATTGGAATAGCCCTCGCTACAGCTCGGAATATCTTCGATTCCAGCCTGACTGGTTGGCCGGCTCCCCCTTCGTAGACCCCCGGGAGTAGTCTGAGTTTGCCAGCCTGCTTCCTTAAGGGCAGGAAAGACAGCGTGGGTTTTTCACGAGCAACGGTAAGCCCCGCGGGGCTGGAGGGGGGGGGGGTGTCCTCTGGTCTTCTTCAAATGGGCACGCCAATGATTTTATTCCTGAAGATGCGATTCCCCCCCTCCTTTTTTTTTTTAAATCAATGCCAATAGCGCGTGAGTGGATGGAAGGTGGGTTTTCTTCCTTCGTAGTTCCAAATGGAAAAGTGGTGGAGCGCTAAAAGCAATAGTTTTGCCCTTAAAAAAAAAATTGAATGCTGTTTCTTCGGCTAACTGATAACTGATAAACTAAGAAGCAATCCTGCTTTGGGGGATGGAGGTAGTGAAACTAACAAGGATTAAAGAAGAAGGAAAAGGAGGGAGGTAGTGAGGAAGGAAGGAAGGAAGGAAGGAAGGAAGGAAGGAAGGAAGGAAGGAAGGAAGGAAGGAAGGAAGGAAGGAAGGAAGGAGAGGGAGGGAGGGAGGGAGGGAGGGAGGGAGGGAAGGAAGGAAGGAAGGAAGGAAGGAAAGGAAGGAAGGAAGGAAGGAGAGAGAGAAGGGAAAATCTCTAACTATAGAACAAGTGTGTCAATTGATACCAAAGTGCCAAGACAAATAAAGGGGTGTTCGTGACAGCAGCAAGAAGGGAGTGGACTTGATGAACCTCTAGGAGAGGTTGGCACCAGCCCTTTGATTTATTTAATCTAAAATTCTACATATGTGTGTCATTCTAGGGCATTTTATGGGGAAGAAGAGTCCCCTGAGTCCCATCCCTCTCCATTCATCATCCTTGGAAAGAGCAGAGCTCAACCATACCCCCGGAGCCTTCAGTCCATCGGTCACGAGCATCATAGACAGCATGAAGGACCTACTGATCAGAGAACTTCTCGAAATCCTTTTGCAACAGAAGCTTCTGGAGGAAAACCAAGGCAAACAGGATCCCGAAGAACCAGTAAGATTCTTCCAGTTTCCTCTTGGAAGGGATGTGCAATTGCCAGGCTTCCACAGAGCTTGTCACGATGCCCACCCTTACTTTCTCTGCCTCCATGCCTCTTTCTTCGATGCGTGTTTCTCTTAGAACCCCACCCGGGTCCTTTCTCAGGGAGCTGATTGATTGACATGCAAAATGCTGGAGGGCTGGTACTTGATCGGCTACCTCCAGTTGGGTCCTTATTGCTGCAACATCTAGACTAGTTTTTGCATTTTTTCTTTCTTTCTTTCTTCTTTCTTTCTTTCTTTCTTTCTTTCTTTCTTTCTTTCTTTTCTTTCTCCTCCTTCTCCTCCTCCTCCTCCCCTGCCTTCTTCCCCTCCCCCAACTGTTCATAAGCAAAGAATTGCCCAACTATGATTTTCTGCAAACCACACAGATGCACTGGCCCATCCCTAAAAATAAAGTGGAGTTTCTAGTCCCCATGATCCTGAATGAAATACTGAATGAAATATCGGTTCTTTAGATAAGAACCATCCCTCCCATTTTTTTTTTCAGGCAACAATTTTACTCCTCCTTTCTAGAGATGGGAATTGAACCGGGGAGCTTTCTGCAAAGCAAAACATAAGCCATGTTTTTCTTTTCTGTTTTAGTCCTAGGTGACATCTCTTCATGCTCTTAAAATGGTAGCTCACCGACTGCTTTATCTCACATTGATCCACTGCCATAGATTTCTTTCTTGGTTTGCTGCTATCGTCCTGCAGGATCAACCACGGAGGCTGGATCTGCGTGTTGTACAAAACCCTCCTGGGATTTCTTTGACCTGAAGGGATCCTAGTTTGGAGGAAGCCAGAAACAGCCAAGTGGGAAAGTCCACTTCGGTTTCCTCCAACTGGATGCCTCTTTAGGTCCACCAGAGGCGATTGATATGCTATCTGTCCGACTAATTTGTCTCTTTCTATTCTCATTTCCCATTGTAGGAAATGCCAACGTTAATGAAATTGCTGGCAAAATACATTTAATGGCAAAGAAGCCAAGAAGATGGGATGAAGTGTGGAAGAAAAGTAGAAAGGCTCCTGGAGACTTTTCTCAGTCAGATGTAAAAATAAAAAACATATATAAGGCTTCAGTGTGGAAAAAACACCTATTGATTCTGTGTGCTGTGGTTGCTGGGAAGTGGAATTTAATGGAAGTGGGGGAGAGAGAAAGAAAGAAAGAAAGAAAGAAAGAAAGAAAGAAAGAAAGAAAGAAAGAAAGAAAGAGACAGACAGATAGAGAGAGAGAGAGAGAAACAGAGAGAGAGAGAAAGAAAGAGAGGGAGAAAGAGAATGAGAGAGATAGAGTGTGTCCATAAAGACCCATCTTTATACATTGGAAAACAAGGTAGACACTGGGCAGGCACATCCTGTAATAATATGCACTCCAGCATCACTTCAGTGACCTGCAGAAGAACACAGAGATTGCCAAGCTGTACTTGTTAACTTTTCCAGGTCTTTGGTGTGAGGTGAAAGAAACAAAATTTGTGGTTTGCTACAGTGCCTAAAAGAAGAAATGTCTAAAAAACAATCGTCCTTATTCCTCAGTTAGTTGAGACTCTGGATTCTTTCCTCCTTCGGGGAAATATAACCCACCAAGCAAGCCTTGCTCACAAAAAGGTATTTATTTCGAGAGACGCGTATCCAGCTGAAGTCACGCCATGGAGCTCTGGTAGGGCTTGATGATCTGGGGAAGGCGAGTCATGGTGGAATCAACTTTGAGAGACCTGATTCAAACTCTCGGACCAAAAGATGAGTCAAAGCTAAGTCAGTGAAGATAGCAGCCTTCATTCCCAAAATCCATAAGTCTTCAAAGACACGAATCATTTCCAGAATTTTATTAATAAATAATACATCTACAGTACTATTCTGTTGGCAAAAAATGCAACAAGAGTTACAATCAGGTCACTGAAGAAATTTGCTAAGGCACCTTTACTGCTTCCTAAGTGCTCCCTAGCAGGGCTGCGCTCAGCCCAGAAGTATACAAGAATAGCTACAACAGCCAGGGAGGTATGTAGTTAGCCCATAAGTAGCTTGAAAGGCCCACTTCTCACTAGGAGCCAGGCCATAATGCTTGGAGGCACCTACACGGACTTGAACAGAGCAAAACAGGGATCGTGGTCAACATTCCTCCAAAGGTACGTTTTGCTAATGCTTCATGATTAATATTTGCCCAGCCCTCAACTCCAGATCTATTTGTGGCCAGAATGCTTAGCCCCTAAGGAAAGGGGAGGGACTTCCCTCCCCACATGCATGTTGCCCCCACTCCATCTGCTAAGCCATATACCAAAAAGAAAAACCTCAAATCTAGGTTAGGGTGATCTGCAGATATACAGGTATGACTTGTTTTGCTTTGTTTTATTTAGCCAAGATTCTCTTTTCTTTTCTACATCTATGTGCCTTCAAACCATGTGAAGCCAGTTGGCAAAGACCTTTGGCTGGAGATAGCTTCGTAGAGAAGAAATAGCTACCTTCCGTTAAACATTTCTGCTCTCTCTCTTAGTGTGACTCTAGCCTCCTCATGTCCTTTATTTGGGGAGACTGATTGCATCCTTGTAGAACCACAAAATGGAGTGGTTTTTTTTTTATTGCTTATGGATGTGTTGGTTGTATGTTCCAAAGCTGCTCAGAGTCAGCTGGAGTCAGGCCGTGCCTAAGTCAAATAAAATAAATATTCAGTTGGCAAACATCTTGGGTCCATGACATGAGGAAGGATCTCCATCCAACAGGACCAGCCCAAGTAGTTTACTGTGTGATACAAAGGACATCTCCTCCAGCTACAGAAACTCCTTGGTGATTGGATGAGAGTCTGTTGTGATAGGACAGCATCTTCCAGGGCTTCTAAGTGCACCAAGCCAAGGGCAGGCTGCACACCGTACATGACATCCATGTTTTACTCCTTCCTCTTCCAGTATCAACTGCTCAAAGCATTTGCCTCACTCTGTCTACTGATAGGAGAGGTCCTCAGTGGTATCCCAATGGGATCTGCTGTGCATACTCCCCTCATGCTAATATTAGGACCATCTCTCTTACTGACACCACCCCTTTCCTGGGTTGGCTGGCCTTGGCACCAGATCCTTCAAGAGAAGCATTTCATGATTGTTCTTCAGACCCAAACAATGCGTTCATGAGGTTGGCCTACCAAAGCCTGTGATGACCCCCAAAGGCCACGTCTGAAGTCAGTTCATAAGAGTGCAACATTACTTCTCAGTGGCTTGGTCAGGACATCCCACCGTCCATGTCCCTTTTGAAAGACCACTTCAAGCCAGTCCCAGGTCAAGTTGGGCTTTAGCTGTTCTTGATGGTCAGTTTGAAATCAGGCTGAGAAGAAAGTGTCTGGGTCTGGTGGAGGTAGGGGTTGATGTAAACCTCGCCCAATATGCCTTCATCGTCCTCTTCATCCTCAGCCAGGTCAAAGAATGCTTTCAGAAGGTCCGGCTTAATAAAGTGGAAGGCGATCACCACTATGCCGACAAGGAAGCAGAAGAGCCCTGGAAGAGAGGGAGACCAGCAGCATGAAACGGGCACCCCCAAAACATCACTCAGCTTTGCTTTCCAACACATGGACTATACCAACATGTGATATACTCCAGGGGAAAAAGGTTAACAAGCATATTTGCACCACATGCTGACTCTGGTTAAATTAAACCTTACTTGTAGTTATGAGGTTGGCTGACTTTTGGGTGTAGTGAGCTGTGTACATGGAGCCTGGTGTGATGCATGTAAAAAATTAGCAGTACTTGGATCACACCCTCATGGCTGGCCCTTTAACATTCTCGACCACAATCTATAGAGACATCCCTGCTCCAGGTAGATAAGCCCACCCAGAGGAGAAGGAAGACTTACTGTCTACTCAGCCTACTTCACAAGGGCAACATGAACCTCAATAAACAGCTATTGCTGTGAGCTCCATGGGTTAAAGAACTGCACGGAGTGGAACAGCCAGGACTGAAATTTCTTTGCTTCCAGGAGGAAAAAAAAAACATCTTTGGGATGCTCACCTGTGGCCAAAGTGAGCCAGAAAGATGCCCCATAGGCCAGCTTTAGGGATGCCAAGCCAAACTGGATGGCACACCAGACACTCCTCCCCGTGGAGAAGGACAGGAGTGCGAAGATGAGGAAGGCCCCCGTGACAAGAAGCATGAAGCCGCCATAAACCGGGACCGGCATGGAGAAGAGCATGTTGGAGACCAGCCACGCACAGAAGGCCACCCTGCAGTTGCAAAGAAAAAAAAGGCACAGGGGTTAGGAGACAGATAAGGTCTGGGGGTTCAGGTGGGCTTCTGCGGGAAACAGTTAGCGTTAGGCAGATTTCTTTGCCCCACCCGATTCTCTGCCAACTAATTTTCAAATTCCCCCGCCCCTCCCAACATCATCAAGGTGTGTTGAAAATACAAGGGAGTTTATTCTTTCCTTTGGGGTTCTGTTTTGCCCTCCACGTTAGCCCTGAGCCCAAAGCACAAAAGACAGCAGAGAAGAGAATGGGGTCTGTCCCATTCGCCTTGCAGAGAAGGTCTGCTTTTCTGAAACCTTGCTCTGGAAAGGAAGTATCGCCCAGCAGTGGGACAGGGCCTTGGTGGGATGGGGACAGGCAGTGGGGCATTCCCACAAAGAGGGTCCCTCCAATGTGGGGGTTCTCGATTGGAAATGATCAGAAGGCTTAGGATCTGTTTTCGTTCAGGGCAGCAGAATCAGCCCCTTAACCTCACGAGTTCTCTATTTCACGTTTCCCCACCCTTGCTTGTCCGACTTCAGTGGACCAAGAGCAATGGAGGAGAAGGTTAGACTGACCTCCATGAAGTGGAAAGAGCCTGTGCTTCGGACTGGGGATGGGTTGGAGGCTTCAGCCCAAGGGCCACTTGGCGGTCTTTTAGAAACCTAGCTAAGAATTGCAGGGGGGGGGAAGGGCAGGAGAGGAGAAATCCCTAAGCACAGGGGCTGTTTAACAGAGAAACCATTGATGGTGGGGTTTCTTTAAGCAGATGGCCATCTCTCAGAAGTGTCCACCTGGCCCAGGGCCCAAACTTCTGCATCTTTCTAGCTTCTGCCTGGATGGATCCACCTGTGAAAATGCCCCTTACCACAGGGTTGCAGATGCATAGTGGCCCGCCATGCGGTAGACACTGTTCAAGCCACAAGGGCTGTGGTCGGTAAACTTCTCTGCCACGTAAAGGATGGGGCTGGGTAATCCCCGTTTCAGCCCCTCTTCAAACTCTTTGTCATAGTTGGTCCCAAACCTCCAGGAGAACTCTTCGTTATAATTGATGGTTTCGTTGAGCTGGTCCACGGGTTTTCCTGCAAAGATGCAAGAAGGTGATAAGCCACTAAACAGGAACAGGATTGAGGGCTAGAAGGATCCCAGAGGCTGACTTGGGAGCTTTCCTCCCATTATGGCTTCAAGGAGCCTTATCTCAACCGAGCTATAGTTATCAGGGTGAAATAATTGCAAAAGCTAATGTTTCCTTAATCGCCCACAAGGACTGCGACTGCATCGGGCACCAGAGCCTTTGCAGATCTCCCTAGGACTACACTACAAAAAGGATGGGCAACTGGCAGCTTTGGCTACATCTCCCTCTCCTCCATTTCAAAAGCTCTTGGTCAAAAGGTCCAAAGTCGTTGCTAAGTAACTTAATCAAACTTTTGAAAAGAAGGGAGGAAGGAAAAAGAAAGAGAAACAGGAAGAAAAAGCAGGAAGAAGCAGGAAGCAGGAGGAGGAGGAGGAGGAGGAGGAGGAAGAAGAAGAAGAAGAAGAAGAAGAAGAAGAAGAAGAGGAGGAGGAGGAGGAGGAGGAGGAGGAGGAGGAGGAAGAAGAAGAAGAGGAGGAGGAGGAGGAGGTGGAGGAGGAGGAGGACGACGACGACTGTAGGGTCATTGGTGCTCTCTGAGCTTGCTTGTTTTCTTGCAGACATTTCATTACCCAACTGGGTAACATCATCAGGACTAGAGTTTGTGGAGAGGAGGAGGAGGAGGAAAGAAGGAAGAAGAGATGAAGGAAGGGAAAAGCAAGATGAGGGAGGGATGGAGAAAGGGGCATAAAGGAAGAATGTTCCGCCTCTTCTTCCCTCTCTATAACCACCGTGTGCTTCAGCCTCTCTCCCTTCTTAGACCAGCATCCGACAGAATTCCCACAAGAGAAGCCAGCATCATCACCAAACCCCCTTTGCTCGCTTGCCCTTACAAAGAGCCTAGTAGTGCATCTGTCAGCCCTTCGAGGTAGTCCAGACAACAAGAAGCACAGCCAGGGCTTCTCTCTCTCTCTCTCTCTCTCTCTCTCTCTCTCTCTCTCTCTCTCTCTCTCTCTCTCTCTCTTTCTCTGTGTTCCTCTCTCTCTCCCTTTCTCTCTCTCTGTCTCTGTCTCTCTCCCTTTCTCTCTCTCTCTCTCTGTCTCTCTCCCTTTCTCTCTCTGTTTCTTTCTCCCACTCTGTTTCTCTGTGTTCCTCTCTCTCTCTCTCTCTCTCTCTTTTGTAAGTCTGACATTTTTGCAAGTCTGAAAGTTTCCTTTTACTCTCCAGAAAACCGCAGAGGGTCTCTTCTGACGCACCTCCCGTGCCCTCCCTCCTTCTGTGGGCTGAGATACCTTTTACACACCTTGCGACTCTCCCTCCTCTCTGCCAAGAACATTCCCCCCCACTCCGCCACTACGGCATCCAGCCTCCCCCCCCCTTTAATCCTCGCTCTGGGATCTGCAGACTCACCAACCAGGGTGATGTTGACTCCGGACAAGCCCACATGCAGCCCAATGTCTGCGTGGATCATGGCGGAGCTGAAGGATTTGTAGGAGGTGTTGGCTGCCACCGTCCCGGTCTCCCAGTCAGAGGAGAAGTGGACCGCTGCAAAAGACAGAGAGCTCTCTGTGAACCCCAGGAACGGAGTAGCTGAGAAGGGCAGGATTTCAAAAGCCTCTCTTAGCCCGCCTTCCCGGAGAATTCTGGAGCGCAAATGCTTGTGACTGAGCACCAGGAAAAAGGGCTCCCTGTCCATCCAGAAGACCAATCCAGATCAGAATACCAGAGTGGGGAGGGACCTGGGGGGTCTCCTAGTCTAACCCCCTCAAGCGGGAGACCCTATAGCAGTGGTTCTCAACCTGTGGGTCGGGACCCCATTTGGGGTCGAACGACCATTTCACGGGGGTCGCCAAACAAGGCTGTCCGCCATTTTTTTCCCCTTTTCTTTGGCCACGCCCCTGGCACACGTTGATGTATAAGTGGTTGGGGGTCACTACAACATGGGGAACTGTATTATGGGGTCGCGGCATTAGAAAGGTTGAGAACCACTGCCCTATAGCATTCCAGACAACTTCTTCTTCAAAACCTTCCAGTGATGGAGCACCCGCAACTTCTGGAGGCAAGTCGTTCCACTGATTAATTGTTCTCACTGTCTTAGAATAGAATAGAGCTGGAAGGGACCTTGGAGGTCTTCTAGTCCAGCCCCTTGCTCGAGCAGGAGAACCTATACAAGTGGTGGCGAAACTATGGCACGCGTGCCAGAGGCGGCACTCAGAGCCCTCTCTGTGGGCATGTGTGCCGTCGCCCCAGTCCTAGGCCTTCAGCTGGGTTTTATAAAACATTTTCGCTTTAGGCCTCCGCCGCCGTGTGCAAAAAAAAAAAAAAGGTTCAATCAATAGTTAATTTCAACTTCTCGCAGGGAAAAAAAGATCTTGCAAAGTTAGAATTGATTGATTGAACTTTTTAGTCCCACCCAGTCTGCTGTTACCACCGCAGCCACGCCCACCCAGTGGGCCACGCCCACCCCGCAGCCAAGAATACATAAGTGGGTTTTGGGTTGCAGTTTGGGCACTCGGTCTCTAAAAGGTTCGGCCATCACTGCATTCCAGACAAGCGGTTGTCCAATCTCTTCTTCAAAACCTCCAGGGATGGAGCACCCACAATGTCTGGAGGCAAGTTGTTCCACTGATTAATTGTTCTGTCTTAGAATAGAATAGAGCTGGAAGGGACCTTGGAGGTCTTCTAGTCCAGCCTCCTGCTTGAGCAGGGGACCCTATACCATTTCAGACAGGTGGCTGTCCAGTCTCTTCTTAAAAACCTCCAGGGATGGAGCACCCACGATTTAAGATCAAAATGAAGATAAATAGAGAAAAGAAGGAAACCACGACTTACCGACAATCACTCCTCCAATAAAGAGGCTGGAGATGACCCGAATAAGCCAATATAGCCTCTGTTGACAAAGAGAGCAGAGGTCAGCGTCCAGTCTCCACTTGCTCGGGGGGGGGGTTAAGGCTAGTCACTCTCTCCCAGCCCAGCCTACCTCACAGGGCTGTTGTTTTGGGAAGTGGGGTGGAATGAGGGGAGAGCCTGCTACACACATTTCTGAGCTCTCCAAGGATAAGTGGGATAAACATTCCAATAAATCCAGTGTATGAAATGCTGGGCAGAGCAAAGGCAGTCTCAATCTATGTTTGATCTCCTGGGATCCCATTTAGGAATCGATTCAAACAGATCATGGTTTTTCTACCAACAGTAACAACAGCTTCCCTCCCCCCCCCTTTCCAATTCTCTGAAAGAGAAAAAGATCTTCCTTTTTTTTAAATTCTTCAAACTAAGACATCATTTTTGTTGGCAAAAGTTCTCCTTCTCCACCTCGATCCAAACCCTAACTCTCTTTTCATATAGAGTTTCTTGTGTATTTTTCTCTCTCTCACACACACACACACACCCAGTCCTGCAAATTATAGCTGTTGTCCTTTTAATCTGCCGCATTAAAGACCACTTCAGGGGGGCAGGAAAAACTTGGAAGAATTCTACATTTTAGGTTAAAGCAGGCAATTAACTGGCTTTTTAAGAGAAAGCCACCCCACAAGAAGAAAGAAATATGCGTCTCTAAAAAAATAAAATAAAAATTCTCGCTGGGGGGGGGAACCCATCCATTCCCCCCCCCCGGCTTTTAAACTATGGTACAGATTGTTCTAGGGGGAAGCAAATTATTCAGGGCCAGTGAAGTTTCCCGGAGTTTGCATTTATTTTATTTATCAATTTGGAACCCACCCGTCTCCCTCAAAGTTCCTCCTTGTCGCTCATTGTGCACCCCCCCTCACCCCCATGTGCACGGCCCGTTTAATCTCTTCCTGAATTAGCCCTCCTTTCTGGGGTTCACTCAATACACTGAACCCCAATCAAACAACCGCGACTGACACCACCCTGCCCGCCAATTGAATCCAAGCTAACTTTAAAGAACTGAGCATGTAATAATAATAATAATAATAATAATAATAATAATACAGTTGGAAGGGACCTTGGAGGTCATCTGGTCCAACCCCCTGCTCAGGCAGGAAACCTCCCCCCCCGTCCGGTGGGCTAAAAAGTTGTAGGGAAGTTTCACGGACGGACGCTCCGTCTCACGCCGATCGGAAACGGGACGGAATTCGCACTCACCGCTCTGCCTCGAATTCCAGGCAGGATCAGCAAGAAGCTGAAGGCGATCACCAGAAAGACGATGATGACAATAATCAGGTCCACGTCGAAGACGAAGGGCTTCATGGGTTGGGGGTAGAAGGGGTAGATGCCATCAAACAAGGTCATGTTTGCTGCGGATCTGGAAAAGAGACGAGAAGACGATCAGCCCGAGGTTTTCCGTCGGAAGGTCATCCAAACCTGGACGGAAGGGGGTCGGTGGTCCTGGCAAAGGATTGGGAGGAACCCAACTTCTTTGAAATTTGGGGGGGGGAGTTTTTCTGAGGCTGGGGAAGTCTCCAAGAACCCCAGGTAAGGGTCCAGGTGTCCAGTCTGCCCCAACTCTCCTCCGCCTGGTGTCCAGGCGTTCCGCAGGCGCTGCAACAGGCCAAGAGAACCCCCTTCCCTCCGAGCTGCCTTCTTTCGAAGCGAGAGAAGGAACTTCGGAGAGAAAAGGGATCCTGGGGACCAACACCCCCCCCCCCCGCCTGCCAGTCGCCTCCGAGGGAACCGTCAGGAGCGCTCCCAGCCGTCGATCGGGGGGGGGGGCACCGCTTCGTTACGGCTTTCCACCCGCAGCAAGCAGCCTCAGCCCCGCCGAGGCTTTTGAACAGAAGAGGGCTCCAAGCTGCGGAGATTACGGCTAGCAGAGGAGAGAAGCACTCTTCCCATGCTCAGGGGCAGGCGACTTTCTTTCTTTCTCTCTTTCCGTCTTTCTCTCTTTCTTTTTCTCTTTCTCTCTCTCTCTCTCTGGAGCCAGGTGGCCGGAGAGAAGGCAAGTCTCCGGCCAGACCCAAAGGCTTTGGGTCCCGCCTGACTCCAGCCCCTCCCGGCTTGCGGGCAAGAGCCCCCGGGCAGCCTTACCGGAGAGGCTTCGCCTGCGTCTTCAAAGGAGATCGGAGCGCAATAGCGGCGCCCAGAGCAGCGCTCGGCCCTTATACAGCCGGAGCGGGGGGTGGGTGGGGGGTCTCCCGCAGGTGGCATGCAAATGAGGGAGGTCCCCGGCCACGCCCCCCACACCTGGCTCCTCGGACAGCGGCCACCGGGCGCGCGGCAGTCCAGGGCGGCTGTGACAGCAGCAGCAGCAGCGCGAGCAGCAGCGGCAGCGCCGGGATCGCACCTGACCAGGTGAGCAGGTGGCTTTCCTGGGGCAGATCTGGAGAGGACGAGGCGGGAGGGCGGCCGGAACAGTTCGGCTGGATGGGTGGGGGGACCCCGGGTGGGTAGGGGGGACTTCGGGTGGGTAGGGGGACTCCGCGAGGCTTTCCTGCCCGAGGCAGCCCCGCGCTTCCCCGTTTCCCACGGCCACCTTTGCCAACACGGCGGCGCGCCGGGCTTCGTGCGGATCGAGTCCTCTTCCCCGGGAGCCTCTTGAATTGAAAGAGAAGCGTGTCAGGGTCTCTCGCCTCCCGGCCGGGATCCCGGCCGGTCCTGTCTGCCTGCTGGGAGCAGCCTCGCCTTCCCAAACCAAACCCCGCCTCTTGGAATTTGGCAGCGGCTTATGATTTCGCGTGGGGAAAAAAAAAATCTTGGGCGTGGGAAAAAAATATATATATTCCCATCTCTGGGTTGAATTCCAGGCTGAAGTGCGAACGGTGGGGAGCCAAGAGGCCGATTCGGGATCCTCTTCTCCGATTTCATCCTCTGATTCCCCCAAGGTCTCTCGCGGAGCCAGGATTCCCTCCCCACCCACCCACCCCCAGCAGAGGTAGCGAACGCACGTCCGAACGCATCCATCCGTGTCCCACGCGGTTGCCCTGCGGCAAAGGCAGAAAGTCCCCATTCCCAAATCATACCCGCCAAAGTTTGGACCGTCTAGTCCTGTGGGATCCCCGCAAATAGGAATGTCGGAGCGTGCCAGGCGGAGGATCAGTGGTATAAAGCGCGAAGGGTGCACGGCGCTTGTTTAAACGCGCCCAAAAGTGGATTGGTGCCCTCTAATTAACGGGTTTGGCTGAATCGGGACTGGCCGGGTGTTTGTGACCAAGGAGAACTTAGAGTCAGGGGCAAAAACTAGATTTAGTCTCAGAACTGCCTGTTTTAGGTTGGGAAAGATTTTACTCCCTAATCAAGCAACTTTGTTCAGCTTTTCCTGCCCAGATACCTACTGTATGTTTCCTAGCTGAGAAAAATGTCTAATGTAGTCTTGACATATCTGGAAGGCAACAGCAGCTGAAGAAGGCTGTTGTTGGGCATATCAGCCGAAAGTCTGAATCCATTTAACTTACTCCTGTTTTTAGCCATATTACGGACAGCTGACTCAGTTAAGACTTGCTTAACCTGCAGCCAAGTAATTGTGGGTTCAGTTTTTTATTTTTAATGCTTTTTGCTGGAGGTTATGGGAGAAGAGTGGCTTGCCCTAGGTGGAACTGCTCACCCAAAAAAAATCAGAATTACTCACTCCTGCCTTTGCTCCTGATTGCGGCCACAACCTGCAGGAGCAAGTAGCCGGGATGCAAAAAAGAAAGAAAGAAAGAAAGAAAGAAAGAAAGAAAGAAAGAAAGAAAGAAAGAAAGAAAGAAAGAAAGAAAGAAAGAAAGAAAGAAAGAAAGAAAGAAAGAAAGAAAGAAAGAAAGAAGGAAAGAGAGAGAGAGAGAAAGAAAGAAAGAAAGAAAGAAAGAAAGAAAGAAAGAAAGAAAGAAAGAAAGAAAGAAAGAAAGAAAGAAAGAAAGAAAGAAAGAAAGAAATGAGGTCCTGGAGATCCCAAGGCCGAAGGGAGAAAGTGGGGCTGTTTTAAAAGAATTCGGAGCAAACATCCCTGCTGGTGGAACGTTGCCAAATTGTCAAAGTGGAGAAGCGGCTTTTTACAGGAAGTGGATTATTTTATGTAAGAGATGCCTTTGGATTGATGTAGTCGTAGAATGTCTGATTTGCATACAAATAGAGGCAGACATCTCTGGAAAGACCCCCCTCCTTTGGAATCCAGGGAAAGGACAGCCAGTAAATGCAAGGAGAGAAGAGGGGGGGGGTCTTCTACCTGATCTTTCTTTAGAGCCTCCCCCAGGCAAAGCTTTGGCCTCCTATTCCAAGAAAATGCCGTTCCTCCCCATTTTCCCTCAGCAAAACCCTGCCCCCTGGGATTAAAAAACAAAAGTCCAAATTTTCATGGTTGCAATACAGTTAGTGCTCAATTTACAACATTGAGTTCATTTAGTGACTGTTCAAGGCACTGAAAAAAAAGGGACTTGGGACCGTTTTTTCATACTTACAACTGTTGCAGCATCCCCGGGGATCACGGGATCAAAATTCAGATGTTTGGCAACTGACTCATAGTTACGACCGTTGCAATGTCCCAGGGTCACTTTTGTGAGTTTCTGGCAAGCAAAGTCAGTGGGGGAAGCCAGGAAACCAGGTTTACTGTTACATATTAACAATTGCAACGATTCACGTAACAACAGCGGCAGCCAAAAAGCGTAAAATGGGCCAAAACTCACTTAACTAATGTTTTGCTTAGCGACATCAAATTTGGGCTCAGTTGTGGCTGTCACTCAAGGGCTACCTGTATTCTAGCTTCAGACAAGCCTCCACCCCATACCGGGAATGTTAGAAAAACCCCCAAGATCTTGAATGAGGCGAAGCCTGTACTTTCCATGTTTGTTAGGCCTTATATTCAGGGAAATAAGTACTAAACGTGTCCGTCTGGCTGACGATCTTAACTGGGGCTTATTTTGGGGGGTGAGGCTTATATTACCAGCATCCTGAAAAATCATGCTGAGGCTTCTTTTCCAGTTGAGGGTCTTATTTTGGGGAAAACACGGTAGGTCCACAGCGGAGGGTATTTTCAAAGCGAGAGTGACGAACAGGTGTGCCGTACTTCTCTGCTTGTGCACAAGCTGGGAGAATCTTGTTGTCCCTGTTGAGAGTTCACCTGGCCAAAAAAAAAAAAAAATCCAGATTGCATTAGGTACAAAATGACGTGGCTGGTTTGGTGGCCTCAGGCTAGATCTTGACCCTAGGAAGTCAAATTGACAATCAAGATCTCATGACAACCATCCAGGAATGTTCTGAATGCTGGGAAATTTTGGTTTCTGCCCGTCTAACTACCTACGTACGTTTATCTCAGGGTGATTCATACCTTGGTTATTTTTTTACTATTATTACATTTAGATCTGTTTATCAAACACAAATAGACCGCCAGCGTTTTTCTTCCCTATACACCCTTCTGGATCTCTTTGTGTAAGTTGAGAGTGTGTGTGCCCAGCCAGGAGAAGCGAACCCAACGTGCAGAAGAGACGTGTGAGCAAAGCAGACCAGGAAATCCAAAGTGCACGGTGTCTACCCAAAGCTTAGGCAGTAGCCTTAGAGGAAAAGGAAGCAATTTTAACCGGCTGTTCGCCCTTGTGGATTTAGAATCGGCAAACTTTGCGTGTCGGTGCTTGTGCAGCAAACCAAAGTCACTAACACCAGGGAAAGATGGGCAGTTGTGGGTGCACAGAGATTTAAACCACCTAATTAGAACTGTTGAGAATCTGTTTGGGCTAGTAGTTAAAGGTATCAGATTAAAAACCGAGAGGTCATGAGTTCTAGTCCTGCCTTAGCGTTAATGACAGCTGGATGACTTTGGACTAGTTCCTCCTTCTCAGCTGATGTGGTGAGGTGGGATTAGTCGCTCCGTAATTAGTCCTGACTTAGCATGAAGCCAGATGAGTAACTAGTGCTCTGCCTTAGGAAGAAAAGGACTAAGGGAGACCTGAAAGCAGTGCTCCAATATTTGAGGAGCTGCTACAAAAACAGGGGTGGGTCAAACTATTTCCCAAAGCACCAGAAGGCAAGACAAGAAACAATGGATGGAAACTAGAATAGAGTAGAGCTGGAAGGGACCTTGGAGGTCTTCTAGTCCAGCCCCCTGCTCAAGCAGGAGAATTTATACCATTTCAGATAAGTGATTGTCTAGGCCAGGGGTAGGCAACCTTGGCTCTTTTATGACTGGCTCAGGAATTCTGGGAGTTGAAGTCCACGAGTCATAAAAGAGCCAAGGTTGCCTACCCCTGGTCTAGGCTCTTCTTAAAAACCTCCAGTGATGGAGCGCCAATGATTTCTGGTGGCAAGCTGTTCCAGTGGTTAATTGTCCTCACGGTTAGGAAATTTCACCTTAATTCTAAGTTGCTTCTCTCTTTAATTAGTTTCCAACCATTGTTTCTTGTCTTGGCCTCTAACTCACCGAGAAAAGAAGCAACCTAGAATTAAGGAGAAATTTCCTAACTGTTAGAACCATTAGTGGACCGGCTTGCCTTCAGAAGTTGTGGGTGATCCATCCCCGGAAGCTTTTAAGAAGAGACTGGACAGCTAGTTGTCTGAAATGATATAGGGTTTCCTGTTCGAGGAGAGGGTTGGACTAGATGACCTCCAAGGTCCCTTCGAACTCTGGGATTCTGTTATTTAAGATGGAATGGAGTATCTTGGCAGAGGGCAAAGGAGGCTGGCTGGCAAAGGACGGTTCAGGCTGCAATATTTCTCTGCCACCTTTGAGGCTGGTCTTGCATAACGTTTGAACACGATCTCTTCTTTTTCACCCTTTAATATGCAGAGAAGAGAAATAAGCCCAAATAAGACCCCCAGACTCTCTTTCCACATTCCGTTGCTGTGTATTTGCTGGAGGTGGGTGGAGAGCAAGATAAAGCTGTGTGCAGGGCAGAGGTTTACGGCCAGCGTGCTTGGCAAAAATCATCTTTTGTGGTCCAATGACAATATTAGGCGGATAAAGCAAAGCAACCACGACTGAAATTGCTATAGGAGTCGAATGGAAAGATAGTTGAGTTGGGAAGAAGCCCACAGATTTAGATGCTTTTTTTTGGTGAAAATTATGAAAAATGCTTTTTTCATCATTCTGAAAACTGAAAAGTCCCTCTCAACTCTCGTCTGCCCAAGCCGTGAAGGGGGGGGGGAAGTCAACTATGTTCCTTTTTTTAATGTGCATGCAAAAAACAGAAAAAAAGACCATGACTTTGACTGACAGTCATAACTGCCATTTTTACTTTTTTGACCTCCCTCTGCAGACGCCTGGATGCCAATAGAAATGAATCCCTATAAATGCCTTCATCCACTCTGCAACACACACACACACACAGAGAGAGAGAGAGAGAGAGAGAGAGAGAGAGAGAGAGAGAGAGAGAGAGAGAGAGAGAGAGAGAGAGAGAGAGAGAGAATCTTGGAATTTGAAGGGATCGTTTTTGATCCTTTGAAAGTTTTGGGGTGGTGGGGAGAAAAAGATGATCTGATATCTCCCTTCGCATCTGCCATTCAATTTCAACCGTACAACATTAATTTTTAACACACACACACACACACACACACACGTGTTTCTGCAATTAATCCTGCAAGAAAAATGGCCGGTTTTCTTTGTGTGATGCAAGACAAGTTTAAAACACAGAGTTGAGAAAGAAAAATTCTCTAGATCTTGTAAATGATAGGGTGAATCAGAGCGTTTTAAGCAAACTTTAGGAAATTCCCATAATCCAGTCACTAGGGACAGAGAAAATCCATATTTTCAGTGAGTTGACGGCAAGCAAAGTTTACAATTTTTAAGACCAGGGAATTTTCTCTTCATATCTAGGTCAAGGTGGGGAAGTTGCACGTGCTTGCGCCATACTTACCCCCCCCCCCCCAAAGAGAAATACACAAAGAGAAAGACTTCCTTGCTAGGACTTCATTTTAGTTTTTATTTCCTTTCCTTTCCCTTCCTTCCTTCCTTCCTTCCTTCCTTCCTTCCTTCCTTCCTTTCTTTCTTTCTTTCTTTCTTTCTTCCTTTCTTTCTTTCTTTCTTTCTTTCTTTCTTAACAATGTGCAGCTGCTCAGCCAAAGAGAATGTTTAGACTTTAGACTTTAGACTTTCATGCTAGGAAATGGTTTATTTTCAAGAGCTTGTTTGCATCACAGCTCAAGTTTAAAAGAAGTTTGTGGAGTGATTCAGCTGAATCATTTGTTTGCAAAGACGAAAACTTTCTTTTTAGACTATGTTTCCCTTGCACATAACAATGCAGAGATGCCCTGGCTGTATCTTATCTCCTTCAGGGTCTCCATGAAGTTGACTTCATTCTATGCGTAAGAGAAGCTTAAGGCATCTTGAGCTGTTCCAGGGTTAAGGAGCTATTTTCTCCTTTATTGCAGCAGAATGCAAGGGGAACCTCAAAGGGGTGTAACATCAGTTAGGCTTTACCACCCTTTTGTCTTGGGAAGCCCAGGAACTAAAGTTAGTGGCAGCAGAGAGAATAGAGCAGTGGTTCTCAACCTTTTTAATGCCGCGATCCCCCAACCGGTCGTAAGTCGAGGACTACTCAACCGGCCGTAAGTCGAGGACTACTCAACTGGTGCAGCACCGTTTGCAGAAGGGGACTTTTGGCGGGCTCAGCAGGGCAGAGACAGCCTGGACAATTCCTATTGGTTTTTGAAAGCCAATAGAATTAGACTCTATTCAAGAGAGTCTATTCTATTGGCTTTCAAAAGCCAATAGAATAAAAGGGAGTAGCACAGCTAAGGAAAAGGGGGGAAAAAATGGCGGACTGCGTTGTTTGGCGACCCCCGTGAAATGGTCGTTCGACCACAAATGGGGTCCCGACCCACAGGTTGAGAACCACTGGAATAGAGGAAAATGAGAAATCGGCATTGAGAACAGCCAGCGTCATCTTGGTTGAGGTTTTTGGCCCACTCAAGGATGGATGGAGAGCTCTTTAATTCAACAGTGGGGAAAGGTCCTTCAAGGGGTTTTGACTTGCCTCTTTAGACCTCCATGGTTGGAAGAGAAGAGCTGCTTGCTTATTCAGCGTTATTAACCACTAGCACTGATGATGTTACCTAGTTTGGGCAATGAACCGTCTACAAGAAAACAAC